TTTCGATAATTTTTTTATTTAACAAATTAAAAGCAGAAGTGTTGATAATAATATAATTTCGCGTTTTTCATTTAATTTGAAGTAGAAATTGCTTAGACTAGAAACCTTTTTGAATTGTCCGAACTTCACCTGGTCCGAATTAATATTTCTCCGGAAGTAAACAATGGATGATGCGTACGCAGTCGTAATACTACGCAGGAAAGTACTTTTTCTAGTGTGTTTTACGATATTAAAATATTTTGTGTTTTCGTTTACAAAACGCTTCATTAATTTCATTTATAAAAAAGTTCCTTTAACTTTCTACAGTTTGATACAGAATGTTTATATTTTGATCAAAACAATTTCTGCACTCTTTTATATAGCGTAGATTTAATTCGTGTGTTATCACCACGGCTTCCTGTTTGAGGGCTCTGACAGTAAACTAATAGACGGGGTCACGTGACCCCGTCTAAATATCGATAAATAAAACCATTTCAAGTGTTATTTTTACGCAAATAGCGATATGTATGCTTAAAATAAGGGAATTCCTAAAAGATCCGCTCCTATAGAATCTAAATTCTTATTGGCTGTCCCAAAATAAAATCCATCAAGGTCAGTAAACATGGCGGATAAATTCAAGTTGTGATGTTGACATACTAGTACATGAAAAATAACCGATATATGGGTCGTTGTGAATATTTTTGGATGGATTTATGTCTTGCATACTTACTTTTTTGGAGTCCAGGTAAGAGATGTTAATAAAATAGCCGTTTACTGATGATTTGAGCCGAAATCCGTGCGGGAGTGATTCACAGCCGCATTTGCACCATTACGGAGATCCTAAGGAGTTGTAGCCCTCCCCCCCCCCCCAAAAAAAAAAAAATCAGAGAGGGCTACATTATTGCAGCTACCCTATGGTGTGACAAACAAAGAAAGGTTATAAAAGTAACTCACTTGCGTTAAAAAAAATTGCACAGAGATAGTAAATTAGATTCTCTTTGTTAATTTTTTTTTTTTTTTTTGCATATTTAAAAACGTTTTTGTAATACAACTTACATTCGATGTTATTTAATGTAACAGTCAAGTCAATCAAGAGCTGGGTTTATGTCAATTAAACAATTGAGTTCACCGCACCCCCCCCACCCCCCTTTACAGCTGCACCGTCAAAATATTACATGTACTTATTCCAATGCGATAAGGAATTTAAATTCTGATGAATTTCAAATTCAAACCATGCTTAGCGCTTCCCAGAACTCTCAGTACTTTGATTTCCATATGTTTTCAAAGAGTTTACATTTGTACAAGAGATGTTCATTGTCTTCAACAACCATACATTATTCACAAAAAGGTTCTACATCTTTGTTCCATTTACGTACATTTAGATTATTATTCAATATGCAATTCAGTAATTTATAATTGAATTCAGCAACATTTTTTTTTTATACGTATATACTTAACTTTAGCTAAATATACATTTTTCCAGATATATTTGTAACGAAAATCGAAAGTCTTTTGCCACATATTTTTATAAACTGATCCTTGAAATTTCATGTTTACCAAAATTGAATAATAAAAATCACATTTAAGGTAGTGTACGTAGATTCAAGTTTGTTCAAATCATGTGACCTCGGGGATTGGGCGGGGCCACAATTAATGGCCGACCAAAGTTTTACATAGAAATATATAGGAAAATTCTTTAAAAATCTTCTTCTCAAGAATAACAAAGCCTTCTCTGAAACCACTGAACCAATTTCAAACAATTTTGGCATATAGCATTTATGGATGAAGGGGAGTAAAATTTGTGAATTTCATGGTCCCTGCCCCCCTGAGGTGGGGCCAAAATCACTAACATTAGTGCATATCTTTAAAAATCTTCTTTACTCTTGGACATCAAGCAGTCAAACTGTTGGTATGATTGTAATCAGCATTGAGTCCTCTACCAAAATTTTTGGCCCCAGGGTCAGGGGTTCTAGTGCTACGACAGGGCTAAATAGATTATATAGTGAAAATGCATAAATTCTTTGAAATTCTTCTACTCTGCTCATGGGCATTAAATAAACTAACCAAGTGCATAGTTATGTTAAATAAGGCTGCTTCTTCCAAAAATTGTGAATTTCATGGCCCCAGGTTCAGGGGTTCTGGTGTTAGAGCGAGGCTCTATTGAATATATAGTGAAAATTCACAAATTCTTTAAAAATCTTCACATCTGTTCATGGGTATTAAACCAGTGAACTATGTACAAAGTTATGATTAGGAGGGATGCTTCTTCCCAAATTTTTGAATTTCAGGGCCCCTGGGTCAGGGGTTCTAGTGTTGGGGCGGGGCTTGAGTGACTATTTTGTGAAAATGCATGAATACTTTGAAAATCTTTTCCTTTGCTCCTTGGTTTTATGCCAATAATTTAAGTACATATGATGAAGAAAGGTGCCTCTTCCAAAATTGTTAATTCCAGGGCCCAAAGTTCAGGGGTGCTGGGGGAGGGGGTACATAGTATATACACTTATTTAATGACTTTTCGGTAAAACACATCGTCAGAAACCCACGGGTGATCTCGTCTTTACTTATCACTTGATAAGTAAAGACGAGATCACCCGTGGGTTTCCGACGATGGGTAAAACAGTCAAACTGTTGTCCCTCGGTAGTGGGGAAGACCTTCCCAAGTCTTCCCCACTACCGAAGGACAACAGTTTGACTGTTTTACCGAGTAGTCATTGAATAAGTGTTTTATTACCTAACCTACTATATAATTAATTAAATTGGAATAAAAACACACAAACAATCAATAAAGAGTTTTAACAACTGTTTATTCACATACTTTTCTATTAATTAGCTGAACACATAATATAAAGATTAAATTTATAGAAATTAAGATAAATTAATATTTAATATTTTAAGTAATACTTAATAAATTGATATTTTGTGTGTTATATTTCAATTTAATTAATTATATAGCAGGTAAATAGTGATGTTGTGATCATCAAAACGCTTGAATGTCACGATGACGCTTTAAACAATCAGCGTACAGTTCATTCTGTGGCCCGGTTAACAGTTCGACTGTTTCATGATCACGCAAAAAACATAAAATAAATCGTGAAACAGTTCAGAATGCCTAATTACAATTTAAATACTGTAAACATATTACATTTGGCATGTACGATATTTGGCGGAAATTCAATTTTCAAGAAGTTAGCGTAGATTTGATTTAGCGCTGTCTGAATTTGCTTGTTATAAAAGTTAATATACAAGACATTTAGCGTTGTACTTGAATTAGCGGACTCTGCTTTCCGCCAAAATCGCTAATTAGAACACACCGCTAAATGTAATACGTTTACAGTAGTCAGTTAGGTAATAATCTGAAATAAATAATGCTATATGAAATCTGTTCTTTGGCAATAATCATCCATTTATGGTGAGATAAAATTTGATAAAATTTCCAAAATTAGAAATATGGCCCCAGGGTCAGTGGTTCCTGTGGGATGAGGTCACAACTGGTGGTTATAAAGTGGAAATGCATTTTCTCTTTGTTACTATAATCTCTTATCTACCTCTAGGTTTTAAGTAGTCAAAGTAAGCATGCTAAGTTTATACATTTTGTAATTATGATAAACAATGGCGCCTCTTTCAAATCAAAATTGTGAATTGTTTATAACATGAACTAAATTAAATTGTTGTAAAGTTGTTACATATAACTCAGGCCCATGGGTATCTTGTTTTAATTTACAGAAGTTACTGTGAAAAAATTGAAATAGTATCTTAGAAATGTAATTATTTAATGAAAGATTATTTCACTTGCAAAGTTAGATATCCTAGAGTTAAATAAAGGCCTTTATCTTTGTTTTATGTAAGGGTTAATGTACAGAGTAGCGCTCCATTCCTTAAAAGTAATGGAGCAGAGGCCCATTACTTTTAAGGAATGGAGCGCTACGAGTATATTAACCCGTGTAAAATCCGCCTTTCTGAATGCTTGTTTTTATTGTTTGTTAATACATAATAAAGAATATTTATATAATACATTGTAAATACTTTTTACATATTAGTAGTAGTATTTATATTTATATATAATATAGAAAGAAAAACTAAAAAAAAAGATGTACTGAATTTAATCTAAAACAAGGTCTTCCAACTGCCTCGCTAGCTCAGTGAAATGAGCATCGTACTGCTATGGTGAGGGTACCGGGTTCGATTCTCATCATGGATGATCTACTTTTTCTTAATGTGAAACTAACCTTTAAAATTTTCCAAAACTCTTCTCTAAAATTTACTAAGTTCTTTCCTTGGTAGAGGCACGGAAAGGAGAATAAGACTATAACAAATTTCGTTTTCAATGTAATTTGCAACTCTCCATTCCTTAAGGTCAAGATCTAGTAAATGAAAGGTGCCTACAGATTTATCAAACTTGAGAAATAAATTCCTTTATTGATGCTTTACAACTTTAGCTTGGTCAAATAAGGTGTTTCGGGGCATAATTTGTAGGTAAACAAGATGAAAAACTGTATTTTAAACTGTCATTTTTATTGAAAAATTAAGAAAACCAATCATGAAAATGGGAGTTTTTTTCGTATTCGGCAAAGGAAATGTATCCAGATTGCCTACAGTCTCTCAGAAAACGGTAATTAGTATGTTCATGGCCTCTTCCTTAAATCAATATCAAATTTAATATAGGTATCCGGTTTACTTTTCATATGATTTCAAGTTGAATGACATGAAAATACCCTATTTTCTACATAATTCTGCTAAAGCCGCATAGTACGGGAAAAAGAAAGTTGAAATTGATTATGACGTCATAATGGATCTAGCACCAAAAAATTAGTCTAAACGTTTTACTAGATCTTGACCTTAAAAGTAATGGAGCGCGCAAACAAAAGAATGACGTCACAGGTGGATTTTACCAGTGTTATCTGTATTCTATTTTGGTGTGAATGCTGGTTTCCCCCATGAGCTATTTATAGCCAAATTGGTGAATTTCCGGTTTGTGTGCTTCTTGAGAAAAGAAAAGAAAGTGAAACTGAAAGGAGTTGTAAGGTACAGTCAATTTAGTAAGTAAGTTTATTAACATCTTAATGTGTGGTGCATTATCTAATCATTAATCACAAATAATTATTATCTGTTTTCTGACAATCTAGTGAACATGTGATAACTGTTTACAAGTTTAATGTTTATCTTTTTAAAAAGATAAGTGAGCTAGCGCCGTAGCAATTTTTAAACACAGAAAGGAATTTTTTCATGTTTAATGAGTCTATAGTCTGATAATTAGAGTTATAATTTTTTTTGTGAAGTGCAAATTACATTGAAAACGAAATTAGTTATAGTCTTATTATATTATATTAGTGTGGAACTGCATTGATCAATTCAGGAAGGTGGTATATTATAACTCACTAGCTAGATGTCTAGAATCTTGGCATTGACCTAAGTTTTTAGCTCACCTGAGCCGAAGGCTCAAGTGAGCTTTTCTGATCACATTTTGCCCGGCGTCCATCTGTCTGTCTGTAAACTTTTCACATTTTCGACTTCTTCTCAAGAACCGCTGGGCCAATTTCAACCAAACTTGCTACAAAGTATCCTTGGGTGAAGGGGATTCAAGTTTGTTCAAATGAATGGCCATGCCCTCATTCAAGGGGAGATAATTGGGAATTAATGAAAATTTAGTGGCATATTTTAAAAATCTTCTCAAGAACCACTGTGCCAGGAAAGATGAAACTTATGGGGAAACATCCTCAGGTAGTGTAGATTCAAGTTTGTTCAAATCATGACTCCCGGGGTAGGGCGGGGCCAAAATGGCCGACCAAAGTTTTACATAGAAATATATAGGAAAATTCTTTAAAAATCTTCTTCTCAAGAATGACAAAGCTATAATTCATCATATTTATATGGGAGCATGCTCAGGTAGTGTAGATTCAAGTTTGTTCAAATCATGACCCCCCGGGGTAGGGCGGGCCAAAATGGCCGACCAAAGTTTTACATAGAAATATATAGGATAATTCTTTAAAAATCTTCTTCTCAAGAATGACAAAGCCATAATTCATCATATTTATATGGGAGCATGCTCAGGTAGTGTAGATTCAAGTTTGTTCAAATCATCACCCCCCGGGGTAGGGTGGGGCCAAAATGGCTGACCAAAGTTTTACATAGAAATATATAGGAAAATTCTTTAAAAATCTTCTTCTCAAGAATGACAAAGCCATAATTCATCATATTTATATGGAAGCATGTTCAGGTAGTGTAGATTCAAATTTGTTCAAATCATGACCCCCCGGGGTAGGGCGGGGCCAAAATGGCCGACCAAAGTTTTTAAAGATATATAGAAGAAAATTCTTTAAAAATCATTTTCTAAAAAATAGCAAATTCGTGATTGGTCATGGGACTACTTTTGGATTTAAACTTTACAATAAAAAGCCATTTTTTACTTTTTCCTACCCTTAGTGCTCAGGTGAGCAATGTGGCCCATGGGCCTCTTGTTCTTTTGTAGTTTACTTTTTAAGTGTAAGTTTAATACACAATAAAATAAACAAACTTCAGAATGAAACAGAAAAGGTCAGTATTATTTAATGACACAACGAATTGTTATCATACAGTCTATCTGTGGTCGTTTTTACAGACAACTAGACTGTAAATTTAAGTCAAATTCCCAGAATGCCCTACCGTGAAACCGAGCATGCGTATTGCAGACAAATGGACTAACATACATGTAGTTGCTAGCACTCGAGAGCGCTAGTAAAAAATTATTTGATCTCGACAGCTCTTTTAAAGAGTTTAACCGAAATGTCACAAATGAGGATTTTTACTTTATTGTTGCAAGCTCATCGAAAAGTTATTAAATTTGTCTTCATGGGTTAATCATCTATTCTTCATTTTATGGAAACTGGAAATTGATATAAGTATAGAAAATATCTGCATATATATATTTTTGTTATTTAAAAAAAAACATCCAGTGCATTTGTAAATTAATTATATGAATAATATATTATCTGATCCTGGATAGTTCAGCCATAGAGGATTTTAAATATTAATTTATACAGTACGTGGCCCCTTTTAAAGTTCTTGTTTAAAGAATATGGTTTGATTAACCAAAGAAAATGTCTTGACAAAAAAAGAAGTTGAAAATTATTAAATCTCAGTCATAACAAAATTTCTAATTTACAGAATGTAGTGGGACAATAACAAACATTACTGGCACACATTTTGACTTTGTTAAGATCAAAACCTATTTCTGTCTGCGATTTCCAATGGCATCAAATTTGATGATAATTGAATCTGACAGTGAGGAAGAAACAGATAAAAAATCCAAAGGAGGAAGTTCTGAGAAGTTAACTTCTCCAGAAACACAAAAAAATGAAGATAAGAATGTCACAACACCAAAACCATATATCAGCTGCCATGAAAAGGAAGAGGAAACTGTTGCAAGGATTGATGTGGGAGCCAATCAGAGCAACATCAATGAGCACAGGAAAAACATATCAAAAAGGGATGCTAAGATTTTATCTAAACCAAAGGCAGCAAAATGTATTGGAAAAGCTTTGGCAAAAATTGGAATCGAAGCTTTTGTAGAAGTCCAAGGGGAATCTTGTTTGTTTGGGACGGCAGCAAATAAGGCGTCAGCTGAAATAGCTGTAGATGTTACTGCCACCCTTATTTCTGAAGAGGAAATTCCGATTCCATATGGAAAGAAACTCGAAAGACAAAGACAAAGTGATTTGGAAAGTGAATATCTTGTTGATATCGAGGTACAAAGTGATGTCATATCACTGAGAGGAATTGAGGATGTTGCAACTGTTAGACAGTTGATTGAAAAAAACCTGAGTGAAAGAAATGGCCAGGATCATCAAACATTACAAAGTCAATTCAGTACAGGCCCTGAAGATCAAACATTACAAAGTCATTTCAAAACAGGCCCTGAAAATCAAACATTACAAAGTCATTTCAAAACAGGCCCTGAAAATCAAACATTACAAAGTCCATTCAATATGGGCTCCGAACATCAGACACTAAGATGTCAATTTAACAGAGGACAGTCAAGATGCTACAAGAGGGACCCAGATTTTATATCTAAAGTTACTTCAATTCAGAGTAATAATTTGTAAGTATATATATATCACATCATCACAAGCCTGTGGAGTATGTCAGTCTGTAGTAGGATTTGCTTTGACTGTCCATCTTTAACCATATATTTAATTAATATTGTAAAATTAGAAGCTCTATAGTCTTTTCACAGAGATAGATTCATATATTTTTATATAATTACTCTTAATTGCTATGAATTTTTAATTGATAAAGAATAATTTAGAACCTATGAATGAAAAATTCTGTCCTAATATAATGGTTTCATCAGAAATTAACAAGACAAGTTACAACATATTTTTTGATTTGCTGTAAATTTCATTTCAATCATTTGTATTTTCTTTATATTTTAGCTTTTGAATCATAAGGCACAGGAACATAGCAACAGGGGGGCCTGCCCCCTTTATTTCCCAACATTACCTTTACTATTGAAAATCTCCATTGAAAGGTTGGTTGCCCCCCCCCCCACTTCTTTCCACAGTATAGTGATATCAAGGAAATGTAGTATTGTGTGGAAAAGAAATTGGAAGTGAAAGGAAGTTGGCTTTGAAAAAAATTGGCCACTACCCCCCTTTTTATCTTTTTAGATCTATAAAACAACACATACACACTGTAAACAGTGCATCTTTAAGTGATAAGTTTTCCTCTTCTAGGCTATCATTTTGCTTGGTCTATTGGTTCAGCTGATAAGTGAGTTTTTGTACCTGATGTGTGAGATTTTAATTCAATCGGTTTCATAGCTGCAGAACGGTAGTTCCCTGCTTGAACAAAATCGGACAAATAAAGCAGAGAGCTACAGATCCAAGCCTTGTAAAAACCTTTGATTTACAATGCCATTTGGACATCCATATATATATATATATCTCGATCAGATACATACCACATTTAAAACTGGGGAAAGCATAAAATACCAGAAATAGTAAGTGAGCGACAAAAATCTGCGGCATAAATTGAAGGTTTTTAGGTCACCTGAGTAAACTCAGGTGACCTATTTTTATCTGTCGTCATCCGTCGTTGCGTTAACATTTGAACATTTTCAGCTTCTTCTCTGAAACCACTGAAGCAATTTCAACCGAATTTGGCATAGAGCATCTATGGGTGAAGGGGAACAAAAATTTAGAATTTCATTGTCCCTGTCCCCCTGGGGCCTGGGGGGTGGGGCAAAAACCACTAAAATTAGTGTAATCTTTAAAAATCTTCTTCTTTACTCCTGGACATCAAGCAGTCAAACTGTTGGTATGATTGTAATCAGCACTGATCCTCTACCAAATTTGTGAAATTCATGGCCCCAGGGTCAGGGGTTCTAGTACTAGGGCGGGGCTAAATAGGTACAGTGAAAATGCATTATTTCTTTGAAATTCTTCTTTTCTGCTCTTGAGCATTAAATAAACTAATCAAGTGCATAGCTGAGTTGAAAATGATTGCCTCTTCCAAAATTATGAATTTTGTGGCCCCAGGGCAATGGATTTTAGTGCTAGAGCGGGGCTATATAGATTATATTGTGAAAATGCAAAAATTCTTTGAATGTCTTCTTTTCTGTTTGTGGGCATTAAATAAACTAACCAAGTGCATAGTCATGTTGAATAAGACTGCTTCTTCTAAAATTGTGAATCTAATGGCCCCAGGGTCAGGGGTTCTAGTGGCTAGGGCCGGGCTATATAGGATATATAGTGAAAATGCATTATTTCTTTGAAATTCTACTTCTCTGCTTCTGGGCATTAAGTAAACTTACCAAGTGCATAGTTGAGTTGAAAATGACTGCCTCTTCCAAAATTGTGAATTTCATGGCCCCAGGGCAAGGGGTTTTAATGCTAAGGCGGGGCTATATAGATTAATTAGTGAAAATGCAAAAATTCTTTGAAATTCTTCTTCTCTGTTCATGGGCATTAAATAAACTAACCAAGTGCATAGCTATGTTGAATAAGACTGCCTCTTCCAAAATTGTGAATTTCATGACCCCTGGGTTGAGGGTTCTGGTGTTAGGGTGGGGCTTTATTGATAATATTAGTGAAAATGCATAAATTCTTTAGAAATCTTTTTCTCTCGCCTGGGTATTCAACCAGTGAACTATGTACATAGTTATGAGAAGGATGGATGCCTCTTTGAGATTTTTGAATTTCAGGGACCCTGGATCAGGGCTTCTTGTGTTAGGGTGGGGCTCTAATGTTTATTTAGTGAAAATGCATGCATTCTTTGAAAATGTTTTCCTTTGTTCCTAGGTATTATGCCAATTGATCTTAGTATATATATTTGATGAAGAAAGCTGCTTCTTCCAAAAACGGTTATTTTCCTGGCCCCTGGGACAGAGGTACTGGGGGGGGGGGGGGGGGGGTTACATTGTCTGAAAATTATTTAATGCTTTGAAATCTGCACTTTGGTATTAATCAACAACATGATGAAATAAAATTTATAAAATTTCCAAAATTTTGAAAGATGTGGCCCAAGGTTCAGTGGTTCCTGCGGGATGGGGTGCACAACTGATCCAAAAGTGGAAATGCATTTTCTCTTTGTTACTCTGATCTACTCGGGGTATTTAAAAGTAATCAGAGTAAGCATGCTGAGTGTATAATTATGATAAGCAATGGTGCCTTTTTCAAAATTGTGTCAGAATTCCATGGCCTCTGGTTTAAAACATGAAGCAAATTTAATTTGTTGGAAAGTTGTTGCATGCTACTCAGGTGACCTATAAGGCCCATGGGCCTCTTGTTACAATTAATGCTTGGATCTGTAGCTCTCTGCTTTATCTGTCCAAATTTTCTCAAGCAGAGATCGAGCTACAGATCTGCAGCTTCTTGTTTCACTGTTTAGTTTCTTAAATTTTTTTTGGTTTCTTTATGTTAGTTTCACAGAAGTGTTTTGTACACTTTGTTTTGCTGTATTTCTAGTTTTGAAAATTCCAAGCCTATTCTTTTTTTATCCTGTGTTTACCCCTTTATCCTGTGAATATGACTCATGTGATATTTTTTCTTATTTCCTATGTAGCTTGTAACACAAGATTTGATTGCATGGTTACAGAGTCTGGTGTAAATTTCCATGCACAGACTTGAGCCGGGGTAAATAAAATGTGACGTCACAATGCATAGTTTTTATTAGCTCACCTGAGCCGAAGGCTCAAGTGAGCTTTTCTGATCACATTTTGTCCGGCGTCCGTCTGTCTGTCTAGCTGTCCGTCTGTCCGTCTGTCTGTCTGTAAACTTTTCACATTTTCGACTTCTTCTCAAGAACCGCCGGGCCAATTTCAACCAAACTTGCCACAAAGTATCCTTGGGTGAAGGGGATTCAAGTTTGTTCAAATGAAGAGCCACGCCCGTCATTCAAGGGGAGATAATTGGGAATTAATGAAAATTTAGTGGCATATTTTAAAAATCTTCTTCTCAAGAACCACTGTGCCAGGAAAGATGAAACTTATGGGGAAACATCCTCAGGTAGTGTAGATTCAAGTTTGTTCAAATCATGACCCCCCGGGGTAGGGCGGGGCCAAAATGGCCGACCAAACTTTTACATAGAAATATATAGGAAAATTCTTTAAAAATCTTCTTCTCAAGAATGACAAAGCCATAATTCATCATATTTATATGGGAGCATGCTCAGTTAGTGTAGATTCAAGTTTGTTCAAATCATGACCCCCCGGGGTAGGGCGGGGCCAAAATGGCCGACCAAAGTTTTACATAGAAATATATAGGAAAATTCTTTAAAAATCTTCTTCCCAAGAATGACAAAGCCATAATTCATCATATTTATATGGAAGCATGCTCAGGTATTGTAGATTCAAGTTTGTTCAAATCATGACCCCCTGGGTAGGGCGGGGCCAAAATGGCCGACCAAAGTTTTACATAGAAATATATAGGAAAATTCTTTAAAAATCTTCTTCCCAAGAATGACAAAGCCATAATTCATCATATTTATATGGAAGCATGCTCAGGTATTGTAGATTCAAGTTTGTTCAAATCATCACCCCCTGGGTAGGGCGGGGCCAAAATGGCCGACCAAAGTTTTACATAGAAATATATAGGAAAATTCTTTAAAAATCTTCTTCCCAAGAATGACAAAGCCATAATTCATCATATTTATATGGAAGCATGCTCAGGTATTGTAGATTCAAGTTAGTTCAAATCATGACCCCCAGGGGTAGGGCGGAGCCAAAATGGCCGACCAAACTTTTAGATAGAAATATATAGGAAAATTCTTTAAAAATCTTCTTCTCAAGAATGACAAAGCCATAATTCATCATATTTATATGGAAGCATGCTCAGGTAGTGTAGATTCAAGTTTGTTCAAATCATGACCCCCGGGGGTGTTTTACATAGAAATACATAGGAAAATTCTTTAAAAATCTTCTTCTCAAGAATGACAAAGCCCGAGTTCATCATATTTATATGGAAGCATGCTCAGGTAGTGTATTTCAAGTTTGTTCAAATCATGACCCCCAGGTGTAGGGCGGGGCCAAAATGGCCAACCCAAAGTTTTTAATGGTATATATAGGAAAATTCTTTAAAAATCATTTTCTAAAAAATAGCAAATCCATGATTGGTCATGGGACTACTTTTGGATTTAAACTTTACAATAAAAAGCCATTTTCTACTTTTTCCTACTCTTAGTGCTCAGGTGAGCGATGTGGCCCATGGGCCTCTTGTATGATAAAAAGCAATTGACATGAGGTCACGATGCATTGTAGTGTGTATCTTATCCTAGGTTGAGACACAGTTGATTAGACTCTGATGTTTACAAAGTATTTTTATGGGTACATAGGAAGTAAATTTGTCATCCAGGTCCAATCAAGGGTGTACAGGAATTTTCCCCGGGTTGTACTCTATACACTCTTCGGCCTCAGGGCCAAGGCTCGGGAATAAAAATCACACAAGCTGATAAAAATCCTATCCAACTACAAATCATTCATTGGAGATCCTATATATCGTCGCTGTAATATCAAATTGTTGTAAGTCAAAAATCCCAACTTTTCAGGAGAGACAAAAAACATCTTTTTTAGAATGTCGTATGTCTAGTGTTCTCCTTTCTATCCTGGATGTTTTTTCTGTACAAATTGTCGTATCTCCAGTAAAGTATTGAAACAAATCCCTGCAATGTATTGTTAAGCGTACGAATCTGATATTCGCTCTGAAATGTATTATATGAATTAACATACTCATAAATTGATTGCAGTTACAAACTGCGAAAACAGAATTCAGTTTGTCATGAAGTAACCTTACATCTAACTTTTCATCAATTTTTCCATTAATTACTCTGTTTATTAAATAAATTTACTTTGTTGTGTATGTTGAACACATTTTTTAATAAAAATTATAAAAGATTTAAGTAAAATCATAATTTTAACCTTGATATTCAAGTGACATCCTTGTCAGTGCCCAGAGACATACGACCTTTTGTCAGAAAAAAATTGCATCCAATGGACATACGCGCTTTTATCACAGGTCTGTATCTCACTTTCTAATTGGCCTAGAGACATGACGTTTTGACAGAACATGTATTCGATATTGCAGATTCCAAATTAGCAAAAAAAATTTTGCGCCAAAAATCGACTTACGACATTTTGATATTACAGCGACGATATGTCAATCTACATTAGTTTGCTATTTCACTATTTGAACGGCTGGGCAGCTTATTTTATGTCCCTGTTAATTAGCTATTTCAGTTTTACATTACTAATTAAGGCAACTTGTTTTATGTTAAGTTGTTTCATTTTTTTTGCTATTTTATTTTTTTTTTATCTGTTGGGCAGCTTTTTTATGTCTATGAGTTAGCATTTCTTTTTTTGGGGGGGGGGGGGTTTGACCACCAAGCCTCTGTTTGATTTTTGTCTAAATTAATGTGTTGTCTTCCTTTCCTTAGAGTAGTCAGAAGAGAGACTACAGACAAGTGTCTGATCATTGAGATTGTCGGTGATGATGCACATGGGAAACAGTACCTGGAAAGTCTGAAGAGCATACAGCAGAAAATATGGGATGGAAAACTGGATTTATTCAGAATTAGTAAAGATGGTATGTACTAAGCATGCTTTGGATCAAAGATACAAATTTTAAAATCTTGCTCAGCTGTAAATTCATCTTTTTAATAATCATTGTTTGAATTTATTGTCTTCAGCTTTTGTGAAAGCGAGGGAACGTAAAATCTGTCATCTCTGTCAGTCATTTCTTTAGTATGTCTGTCATTACATCACACAAAAATTAACCTTATTTAATCGAAATAGAGACAGATGTTGCAATCATGTCAAACGGACTTCGTAAGGAAGAAAAGCAGTTCATAAAAATGGCAGAATGCCAGCTTCAGTGTGGAATTATAGTCGGAAATAGCAGTAAAAAAGTCAGGCTTCCTTTCCAGTCACAATCAAGTAGACAGACGTAAGATTTATATTATTTCAATCGTTGTTTCTTATTTTAGTAACATCTGTTACACTCCCAAATGAAAAAAAAGGGGAAACAAAATACTATAACAAAATACAAACAAAACACTGTGATTTTAAAGTATTCCGATAGTATAGCAAATCACATGCAAATGAGCTAACAAAACACTATATCAAATTACTAATAAAACACTCTAACAAACTACTAACTAAACACTCTAACAAACTACTTACAAAACACTGTGTTTTGAAAGTATTCCGATTGTATAGCAAATCACATGCAAACGAGGCTAACAAAACACTCCAACAAACTACTAACAAATCATAAGCAACAAATCATCAATAAACCACTAAATTTGAATTTTTCAAATTAAATAATTAACAAATATCCACAAGTCTTTGAAAACATCTAAACACAGTCTCATTTTGAAACATAAACACTTCTTGTTTCACAGTATTTTGAATTCCAGGATTGACACTATTGTTCAATAGACAATAGTGCACCATTCCAACATTTAAAAACACCAAGTTCACTCTCTTATATCATTCTCTGCAGTTAAATTCCTTTGGTTTAAAAGATATAATTCTCAAGTCATTGGCCATTTCTCCAATCACATACATTTACAGAGAATTTTCATGTATAATAATTCATCACTTAATCCAATGCTTAAAACTGATCTAATTAAGCTAGTATATATGGATTAAAGGTCAATCTTAAAATAAATAAAAACCCAATAGAAACAGGCCATATACACATCCACATTCACAGACTGAAGGTTACTGTAGTCCAGTAAAAAAGAACTTTATGTCAAATAAATACCTGTTTCATATCCAGATTCATCCTGATTTTGCTTTTTCCAATCAAGGATCAATATATATATATACTAACACTTTGCATATCCCTTCACCAATCTCTTTGTTTCTCTCTGACCTAGTACTAGTGGTTTGAAAATAGGCGCAAATATTAGTCTTACACAGGATGTAAATAGTTAAGTTGTTCTTGGAAGCTTTTACAACTCTTAGATATAATTCAACCCTAAACATGTCTGTAAATCAAATGAAACGCTAATAAAATATTACTTTGATGCAGACAAGTGTAACGAAATACTTTCAAAATGCAATTTCATTTTGCAGTGTGTAATGAAACATTAATAAAACACCAACATTGTAATGAAACATTAACAAAATACCATGCCATCCCCATCCTATAAAGTGTTGCACTGATGTTTCGTTAAATGCAACACTTTCAAAACGTACAAACAAAATACAAAAGTATGTTTTGGTAGGGTTTTGAAGATATTTTAAAAGTATTTTGTTAGATTTCTTTTTCATTTGGGCTAGCTTGTAGTTTTAAGTAAATGTCCAGAATGGATGATTTTGTGGTTTCATTAATATTCATTGAGCACCAATTTTCGAGGATTTCGTTGTTGTGCAGATCCACGAATTCAAATGTTCATTGAATTAAGAAATATGATATTCATTTGTATGGGCAATGCTTTTGTCCATGAAATTACGTATCCTCGAAAACATCTCTTTTACAAAATCCACGAAAATTGATGCCAAGGAAAATTGGTGAAACCACAGTAGATGATACTCTAAAACTGTCAAGGTAAATATGAATGAAGGCACACATACTTTTAGAAGAACCAGAGAGGAAATATGGAATAAAATTTGATATCATTGGCTTTTGTTAGTTATGAAGAGGAGGATATCTTCAGTGATCTCCCAACTTCTGTAGCAGGGTCTCGATCCCCAGATTTTTCTGGTGAGGAGAGAGCGTCACATTCAGAGAAATTAACAGTGAGGTCCTCTACAATCCAAGTCGTCAAAGCTGATGTAACACTCTACAAGGTGGGATTCAAGATTTTTTTTCCCAATAATCATATTACAGTTGAAGTTCTGGATCTAAAACACTGAGATCTTGAATACAATGATATGTCAAAGTGTTTTTAAAGTCCCAACTACTTATTCTTCAAGTATTTTACCCTCAAAGACCTGTCAAATCCTTGGATATCTTTAAATTTTTTCTGGGTCCTATCAAGTTTGAGATAACGAGGTTCTGACTGTATATATGAGAATCATTTTCGATCAAATTGTTGACATTCATTCAAGTTTGTATAATAATGGGCATGGGTTGACCACAAGTAGGGGACAAAGTTTAACAAACAAAAGAATCTATAGCAGAAAATTTTGAAAAGCATCTCAATGAGCAATAGATCTAAAGTACATTTAAGAGACATCCCTGTTACATAAATTCAAATAAAGTGGATAATTGTTATTTTTAATTTAGTCAATGATACCTTGTATACCTGGATTTGTTGAAGTGAATTGGAAGTCCTAGCTGCGTTTTTAGCTGTAATGGTTGAGGACCAGAAGAGCTTATGTGATAGTAAGGTGTCCGACGTCCATCCGTCTAGCTGTCTGTCTGTCTGTAAACAATTTTCCAAAATGCAATTCCTCCTACACTTTTGGTCTGATTTCAATAAAACTTGACACACAATTAATCTACACTAAGATACATATATTGGTTTTCAATTTTATGACCAATTTGATGTTGTCATGGTAACTAAAAAAAGAAAATTTCTTTGAAATATTTTCAGAATGCCTCTACATGTACTCCTACAGTTTTGGTCTGATTTCAATAAATCTTGCCCAGAAAATGACTAAACCAACCAGAAGTTTCTGTCGACTGTAGGTCTACTTTGTACTTTTAACAAAGAGAAAAGAAGCAGTTGGACTTGAAACTTTGCAACAGCATGAATATTATAATGATCCTTGATAATGATCCTTGATTAAGTCTCTCTTTGAGACAAGGTTGTAATAATACTACAACTTTACCAGTAGCCAGGAATGGCCAGGAACATCAAACATTACAAAGTGAATTCAATACAGGCCCTGAAGATGAAACATTAAAATGTCAATTCAAAACAGACCCAGTGCATCAAAATAACATAGTCAATTCAAAACAAACCCTGAACATCAGTCATAATTTTTAAGTTTATATCACATCATCACAAGCCAGTGGACTATGCGTCTGCGATAGGAATTACTTTGTCTGTCCGTCTTTCTCCATTAATGAATTGTAACATTGGAAGTTCATAGTCTTTTCACAGAGATAGATTAATAGTGACTGATTAATTGATCATTAACTGTAGGAGTAGCCTTTGAATGGAATTTTACATAAATTTCTATTTTAGTTACCATGGCAACATCATTCACCAAAATTAAAAAATAATGACAACTATGTATATTAGTGTAGTCTACTTGTGTGCCAAGTTATACTAAAATCAGACCAAAACTGTAGGAGGAGTAGCATTTTGAAAGTATTTCACAGAAATATCTATTTTTAGTAACCACGGCAACACTGATCATTAAAATCAAAAATAAATATTAAATAGAATTATGTATCTTAGTGTATTGTATTTGTGTGCCAAGTTATATTGAAATCAGACCAAAACTTATGTGGAGTAGCATTTTGAAAGTATTGCACAGAAAATTCTGTGTTTGAGTAACCATGGCAACACTGATGATTCAAACCAAAAACTAATACACAGAATTATGTATCTTAGTATAGTCTACATGTGTGCCAAGTTATATTGAAATCAGACCAAAACTTTAGGAGTAGCATATTGAGAAATTGTTTACAGACAGACAGATGGACTGATGGACACATTAGTATTGCATAAGCTTTTCTGGTCTCTGACCAGTAGAACTTAAGATCGATTTTTAGTGTATTGCTGTTGCAAAGTTTCGAGTTCAAATGCTATTTTTCTCTTCCTTTGTTATAAGTATAAACTAGTAGAGCTACATTCTTAGAGGGTCAATGATGTCCTTAAAACTGACAATTTAATCCATGTTTTTATATTATTATTAATATTTTAGGCCAAGTGTTTGGTAAACTTCTTTGATCGACCATCAGGATTAGCAACGAGAGGCAAGATATTTGAACGCTTCATGAAACAGGGTGGACAAGATTTATTTGATGTATGTATTCATGAATTTTTCCATAGGTCACTTGTACATAGGCAATATTTTTTGCATCAGGCATTCAAATAGAACTTGAAGGAGACTGTAAATGGGGAAAATTTTTGGTTTTAAGCTCACCTGAACCCAAGGCTTGAGTGAGCTATTTTATTGAAATTTGTGTCTGAAAAATTTCTTCCTGTATCAATTGACATATTCTGTTGTTTTCTAGGAACTCTCTTCAAATTACGATTCTTCAGAAAATGTTGTCATGACAAAAAATGGTGGCAAACTTCAATGTCAGCATGTGTGCCATATATCACTCCCAAAATATAGGGGAAATCATTCATCAATTAAGGTAAGACTAGTTCAAATCATATCCCTGGGTATCATTAAATTAAATGTTAAGATATACCTGAGTATGATTATTGGTCTGTTATTGGGCAGATGCAAACTTCATTTTTATAATCATCTCTTTCACATTTAAAAAAAAAACATTATTGAAGTTGCATGCAGATAAAGTAAGATATTTAAAGATTCCTTGATGGTACATTGTATCAATTAAGTCTCAATAATGACAATCATGTTGATTTATGAATACTTAATGTTTTATGTAAAATGTCTTTCACCCATTTATCATGGGAGAAATACAGTAGGTTGGCAAATATTCACGATGGTTTCAATTTCGCTATGTTCGGGATTTATCATTTTCCCACAAAATTAAACCCATCTTGAATGTTATAATTAGTTTTTAAAAATGTTTATATGCTTATACGAATTTTGAATTAATTTCTTGCAGCGTGAAATTAAAACCATCACAATTGGTACTTTTTGAGATATCGTGAAATTTTAACACCGCAGAATTAAAATGACTTACAGTACAAATGTAAAATCAGGTGTGAAGGGTGCACTTATGTAATGGATGAACCCCCTAAAATTGAAAAGAAGAATGGGGGAAAAATGCAGGTCCTGTAGATGAGACCCCCCCCCCCCACTAAATGCAAATGCATGAAAAGAGGATTTGAATTCAACAAAAAAGTGCATCTAAATACATTTGATTTTAAACCAATAATTGATATATTGGGTACTAATATTGCATGTGTTTATTGTATTGTATGACATTTTAGGAGCTGCAGCAGGCAGTTAGGGAATGTTTTAGGCTATGTGGTGACCTTGGTGTGTATGATATAGCAGTTCCAGCTTTAGGTGTAGGACAGTTGTTGAGGTATCCTGTGGAGGAGGTGGCTACTCTCCTCATCACAGAAAGTGTCTCACTGGCCAAAACAGACAACCACTGGAAGGTAAAGAGGAAACAATCTCAAGTCAAGAATATTTCCTTTATTTAAAGTGTTGAAAAACTATTATTTAAATGAATGCTGGATCATAAAAATTCTTACCAGATTTTTTTTTATTATCTTCTTTGCTCCAAAAAAAAATATCGTTTCTGTCCATTCTCTAGTCAATGTAGACTTGTATAATTTAATAATATTCATTTTACAACAATACATTTTTTCAGATAACATTTGCCATATATGACAGAGAAACCTTCTCGGTTTTTAAACAGCATCTCGACCAGAGGAGACAGGGATTGGAAGGAACAAGTAAATGATGTTTATTTATTTTAGTTTTGTTCCAGGAATATTTTATTTGCTGAGTATACAATGAACATGTGAAACAATCCATATTATATAATCAGTGCATGTTTTAAGGGGTAATTGCTAAAACTGACATTCATTTGAAAACCATAGTGCATAATCTATTACATACTGTAGATTGGCAAATAATCACGATGGTTTTAATTTCACTATGTTCGCGATTCGTCATTTTTCTGTGAAATTAAACCCACCATGAATGCTGTCATTGGTTTTAAAAAATGTTTAAATGTGCATACAAAATTAAAATGAAGTTCTTGAGCATAAAATTAAAACCATTGTGATTGGTACTTTTTAAGAAATCGTGCAATTTTACCACTGTGGAATTAAAACGACTTACAGTATATAAAACAAAAGCAGGGGTTAATGACAATTAATGCTTTTCTGAGGGGTGACAATTTCAACTTGTAACCTTTAAAAAATTGAACTATTTTTTGTCCGTTTTACTGAGCAGTTCTTTATTAATATTTTCATCATTGATTATTAATGGGATCCAGATATATATAGAGAATATTACATACTAAAATTCATATCATACATGTATGACATATCAGCCTGAGGGCCGAAGGCCCAAGGGCTGATATAGGGCCGAAGGGCTGATGTGACATATGATATGGATTTTAGTATGTAATATTCTATTTATCATATATTTAAAATACTTACAGTCCCTGAAACGTTCTACTTTCCCACCTGAATGGTGAACGAACGCAGAGCGAACGGTGAGTGAACGATGTGCGAACGCTGAACACAACTTGGTGAACGGTGAGTGAACGCAGAACGCGAACGGAGCTCAAAGTGAACGGTGAACGCAAGATGAACGATTTATTCGGAATGCCTCCGGTATTTTCCTTGCATTGAAATTATTTTATTACTCTATAATTCTAATTTCAGGTTCTTTAATATAAATAAACAATAATTAAATAAATAAATAAATAAATAATAAAAACATTTTTTATCTGTACATATTTGTACCTTGTTTTAAATCGATATTTTTATTACACGAGTTTAATTACCGTAAAACATGATTGTTTATTTGTTACCGAACGCAGGTAGTTTATATATAAAATAAATCTATTTATATAGTAATTATGCTTATTCTTTTCACTAATAAAATGATGTGGACTTTAGAAGATAAAACTACTACTAACTTATAGAATGAATTAAATACATTGTATGCGGTTGAAACAAACATACATGTATTTCCATGCCAAGGCTATTCTGAGTAAAAAAATGGATTATTTTTTTTATGAATTCACATTTGTCTTCGTTTTTTAAACTTCTAATGCAAAATACTCTATATTTATGTGTCTTTTGTATTCTTTTATGATGATTATTTTAGCTAACTTCTACATGTACTGTATCTGTAGACATTTCCCGGCCGTGATTATACTTGATCAAGATGATGGAAAGAGGCATTCAGATTATTTGTAATAGATTAAATTTTCAAAACTAAATAAGTAATGTGCTGTCATAGTTTTTATTGAACAGAGAAATGTACGAGAGAGAAAGAGAGAGAGAGATACCCTCAATTCTTAGATGTCTGTTGTTGTATCAAATAAAAATTCTTATTTTTCCTAAATATTCCAAGCAGTAAAGGTAATCATTTTTTTAGATTAACAGATTCTTTTACAGTAATCATTGGCTTTTATTTTCTTTTATCAAGTTCACACAGTTCACAGGAAGTCCACGTGCTTTTCCTGTCAATCAAATCATTCGACACAGTGGAGGTGTGGAAATCGCGTTTCACCGAACATGCCGAAGGCAAAGAGTCACTTAGTATTTCCAAGAAGTTTTAATTTTTTTCCCTATCATTTCTAGATCTGATTTTTGCATTTCTGCAGAAAAAATTGATAAATAGTGGGAAAATATACTTGGAAGGATTAAGTTTTAAATTGAATTAGAAACATATTCCCTGCCAATTTGAAATACTACTGTCTGCACAAGTGTATTCTAAAATACTATTGTTTGATGACTGTTTGATGTTGGTTTAAAGACTGGTTTTCTTGTGTTACAATACACATTAAATATTAATCAAAATATACTGAAAATACTCACTAAGAATTTTATTTCGGGAGAAGAGGCACCGGGGGAGGGGGGGGGGGGGGGGTCTTGATTATACTATTAAAATGGCAAACATATATTTAGGTACGGTGAAGGAAGGAATTTCCTTCTCTATTAATAGACTATTTTAAACAGTTGATCTTTTCTAAAATCTAAAGTCACACCATCAGTCTAATTAATTAGCTCTAAAGATATTTAATGAACTGAATATTTGCAGTACTGTTCATAATTCTCAGACCTACGTGTAGTTTAAAATATGTGTTACTGTAGAAATAATTTTTTTGTGTATTCTTGCCTTGTAAAAGACTTGGTTTAATTATTATACATCCATTAACGATTTTTCGTCTTAAACATTACAACAAATTGTGGCTGTGCATGAAGCATTTGTACATTGCCGTTTTTTTTAATTAAATATTTTAGCATCGTTCTACATATATGTAGGCACTTAATGTATCATTTTCCAGGGAAATTTCATGAATAAAGTAACAGCTGAGTTATAATAATAGAAATATGAATATCATAGATAATTTTTGCAATGAAATAATTATTCTTCAAACACGATATCTAAGTTATTTAATTAAAAAACGTGTAAATCCTTACCATCAAAAAGATAAGTCCTTTCACTTCGGGGTTCCGAATGACAATGAAGACTGAACGATAAGTGAACGGTGAACGCAAGATGAACGCAAAGTAAACGGAACGAAGAGCGAAAGGTGAACGTTTTGTGAACGGTGAACGCGAGCGCACGGTGAACGATGAACGCAATACTGTGAATGGAGAGCGAACGGTGAACACACGCTGAACGAACTGTGAACGAACGCAGAACGAACGGTGAACGAACGTTGAGCGAACGGAAAAATGGGAAAGTAGAACGTTTCAGGGACTGTAATATGCGAGCTTACATTTGCATACTGAAGAATGTTTCGTGCTTGTTTATGACATTTTTCTTTAAAATCCAATAGAGCCAATTTTTGGTAACTGAAAAAAAATTAAGACGGCAAATTTTATTAAAGAATTATTTTACATGAATATTTAAATAAAATCAAGTAAATTAACTTTTAAACTTTCTGCAAGGGTTACTTCCGGTGAAAAAATGGATTTTCTGCCCGCCGGTCCGATATGTGATATGGATTTTCGGACCGGTCCTTGATATGGGTATTGTGACGTCACCCGTATCGCACTGTGCAGAATCGGTGTATTTACTACTAAGTATATGGTAAATGCTAGTAATGGACCCAGTTTTGTGTATGATATACTCTCTGACTGCTTGTTTTATGAAGGACTCAAATTTACAAATATTTTTTTACAGATCCTGGCAGATACAGAGCTCTAAGAAGGGAGGCCTCTGCTCCTAGTCTCTATGTTCATACCTCAGGCAGAGAAAGACAAAGAAACTCATCACCAGATTTTAGAAAGTACAGAGATCACCATAAAGATGTTGAATTTGATCGAAAAAGGGACTGGTCACGTCCAAAGAGTGCTAAGAGAACCCCACAAGCCAGTGCAGGAGACCCGTCCAAAATGACACCTGTGATGGAACTTCACATATATGCTTTATCCAGAGACAAAGGAGAATCTATTCGAAGTGAACTCTCCCAAATGATCAAGGAAAGGTTTTTACATGAACACAGCATTGAGAGAATTAATTTTAGTGAAATACCAAAAGAGAAAGAGAGGAAAATGTATGACATTGGTCAGAAGTATGGAGTCTTTGTTTCACTGGATAAAGGTACTACTTTGAAAAGTTGTACATAGTAAACTTTAATCAAGCTTAATGGCTGAATGTCTGTAATAAGAAGTGTTGTAATGATAAGGTTAAAGACTTGACGTAAACATCTATTTTACCTGGCATTGTGAGTATGTGATATTTTGCTGCTTTGGGGCTGAATAGCCTGACTTTATAGTAGAAAAGCTTAAGGTCAGATGAGACGTTCCTCAAAATCTGTTTTGTATATCTTCGTAATGTATGAAAAATATTCAAAATTTTCACAACATTCTGATTTCTAAACCAGTTTCTAGACGTTTTTAAAAAATCCAAACACTTAAATATTTGAAATTGGAAAATTATTTTTCTTCCCCAAAGGATTATATAAGAAAAACTACCCCTGGTATCTTGCAGAAATGCCTGGTAAGATACCTCAATTTTTTGTGAGTAAACGTTTAAGTAGCAACACTTCAATGACAAACTCTTAGAAAAATTTATCTATTATTAAGGAACGTCTCGTCTGTCCTTAAAGACTCATGAATAATGATAATAATATTTAGCTTAATTTAACGATTTGTGGTTATCAGGAATTCAAATAAAAATTTTTTTAGGCTACCTGTATAACAAATGACAAATGTATTGCTATTTATTTCATCCAACTTGAAACAACCTCCACATTTTCAACTTCTGCAATACCAATGCATGGACCAGTTTAATCAAAACTGCCAAAGAAGATCCAAGATACGTGTATAATAATTAGGGTTTTCATAGTCTTCATAAGAAAATACAGTCAAACCTTATTATCTTGAACTAGACAGGACGGAGGAAAAACGGTTTGACAATTGAGTTATCAGGGGTAAAACACTTGTGGTATAAGTGGTTGGAATTTCCAAATCACTTCAACATATAATTCATGGTATTTGAAACACTAGTGTTTGAGATACTGAATCACAACTGTATCTCATTCTAAAGGATAAAAATATGTTTGTATAAAAATAAGTTTATTATGATTTTTGCTAAGATCTTTTTTTATGAATTGAATGACTTTTTTGGTTTTGTTTTGTATTTAATAGAGAAGAATAGAATATCACTGAAAGGTTCAGCTAAGGAAGTGAACAAAACAGGACAAGAGATAGAAAGTATCTGTCCATCGGGGTCCCCTCAGGAGGTGGCCCCGGTAAGACGAGAAAACAGACACCGCCGCGGCACTGATGAGGACTTGAGAAAAATGTTAGAGGAGCCAACTGTACCAACTTACTGGAAACACTTTAAGGATGGGAAATCAATTATGGAATTTTTTAAAGGAATTGTAACAAGCATAGAAAAAACCCATGATGTGGATCCAAAAACTTTCAATGCAATTCGCAAACTAGTAGAAAAGACATTTAACCCCGAATTAGTGGGGCAAGGAGCAGATGCAAGAAACCTCAGCCATAAAAAAATACATGTTCAAAAAGTAGAACTTATTGAGAATATTGATTTGTATCAAGAATATAGCCGTAAACGCAGGAAGATGTTACATAAAGTCTTTAAAACAAAATCTCCAAAATTCCCGACTAAAGTGGAAGCAGTTCCTAAAAAGCAAGGAATAAAAAATGTTGTCGCTAAAGGTGCTATTTTTACGGAAAAAATAATGGATGAAAGACTAAAACAAGACATCGTATCAAAATTGAACGAAGTGTATCTATTTCATGGCACTAAGAGTCAATTTGTTGGAAATATAAAGGCAAAGGGTGTGGACCCAAAACATGGAAGTGATGGTGGCATGTTTGGTCGTGGTATTTACTGTGCTGAAAGTTCTACAAAAGCTGACCAGTATGCAGGTTTGTTTGCATTGTTTTGTATTTACTGTATGCAGGCTTATTTTTGCTCCATGATATTTTCACCCTTTCACACTTGCAAGCAATTTTTATCCATTTCAGATTCACACAATTACAGTTCGGTATAAGAAATTATACTGTGTTCTTTGAATTTGCCCCTTTTTAAATTTGCCCACCAGTAAGTAGGGCAAAAGTGGCGAAAATGAAACCGGGGCAAAAATGTTCCTGTATATAGTATTAAAAATGTCTAAATTGGGGGGGGGGGGGGGGGGGAGGTGCATTAATGGATGATTTTTAAAAAATGATGTCTTCTTTTTTTTTTAGATGATAAAGATAAACGAGGACAAAAAGGGAAAATGTTTCTAATGCGCATGCTTCTCGGACATATCTTTCTAACAGAGAAAGATAAGAAATATAAACAGCCACCATGCTATAATTGTCACAAGGATGATTGTGCAGATCCTGATCATGAACGATATGATTCCGTGGTTGGAGTGAAGCAACAGACAGGGGGACTTTTCCGAGAATTTGTGGTCTATGATAAAGACCAGTGTTACCCGGAATACTTGATCACCTACGACAGACTCTGATTCCTGTCAAATATATTTCTGGTTCACAGAATTCTGAGCTCTTTCTTTACCAATTTATGGTGTACTGTCTCTTAGTAACAGGTTGTACAAATTATGATTCTATTAATGTCATGATCAAAGTATATACCCGGTACATTTAGATTAATTGTGATAGGATAGGCACTGCTGAAACTATCAATATTTAGGAAATCTGCATGAAGATATAAAACTTTTAAAAAGTAGGATTGAAGAAGTCAATCTTTTCATTAGGTCACCTAAGCTGAAAGCTCAAATAAGCTTTTCTGCTGACCCAATGTCAGCTGTCTGTCCGGAGAGTTTATATTGTTAAAATGAAGGGTCAAGACCCCTTACAAGGGGAGATAATCAAGAAAAGACAAAAGTAGGGTGGGGTCATCAAAAGGGAGTTCAAGTCTGAAACCAGTGTGGAAGCATTCTGGGATAGTGAAGATTCTGAATTGTTCAAATTATTAAATTGTTCAAATCATGACCCCCAGGGGTAAGGCAGGGCCACAATAGGGAATGCAAAGTTCTACATTGAAATATACAGGAAAAATCTTTTTCTCAAGAACACTTGGGTCTGAAACCTGAAACTTATTTGGAAGCATCCTGGAGAAGTGTAGAATCTGAATTGTTTAAATCATGACACAAACCAGATGAGCATTGTAGCCCATGGACTTTATGTTACATTCTACATTAAAATCGCTTGTCTACATGTACAGTAAACTCGTTTAGTACAAACACGGATATAGCAAATTCACGGATATATCGAAGTTTGTTGGGGTTCCTGGCAAAATTCTTAACAATTCTTTGTAAAAATTTTACGGTTATAATGAACTCTGATATAGTGAATTTACTGATATAGCAAACTGATTTTGAGTCCTGTAGAGGTTAAAAATAATGTAATTTACATCTTTTATAACAAATTTTCAAAGATCTCTAAATTTGTTATTTTGTACTTACTTTATTTTCACTAAGTATTTGTATATAAAATTCAATTCATAATAAAACCTAAGTTATCCAAGGTATGTTTTGTAATATTTCCATTTCTAATTTTTCTCTCTTTGCTGACTCTTTGAAAGTTAGCGGAGTTGATTTCTTGATAATTCTACCGCAATGTAAATTAGGCAGGTCGATAGGTCAGGAGCTAAGGAGGCCTAATATGCATGCAAATCTCGTGCGGCTGCCTTTGTGTTTGACGTCAGTGGGCTTCGCCCGTTATGCAAATTATCCCATGTTTCTCACTATCGTTGATGCCCTGGCATACTATACTAACTATACTAACTCCTTAAATAATTGCTTCCCTAACATATTCGGTAGAAATTCTTGAAGGAAAACGTGCATATTGCAAATTTGCTATACAGTAATACAAATTGGTTATACGGATATAAAGAATTATGGATATAGCGAATTAAATTCACGGGTTCCCAGGACTTCGCTGTAACCGAGTTTTACTGTACAGCAATTCTTTTATGCCTTACTTGACAAAACAAAATGATTTAGTTGATCTTTGTGATGATGTATATTCATATAATCAATGTAATTCATTTTAATACCAGTATATATACAGTTAATTGTAAAATAAATTGTCATACTCATTCCTTTTCTATTCTTTTATACTTCAGTGATCCTCAGGGCCATTGGGCCTCTTGTTTACATATAGCTCATTTAATTGTTTGAATAATGTATTTGCATTTTTTTCGACAGAATCTGACTCTGTTAGACTTGTGTTGCTTATATACATAAAGAATGTCTATATATAAGATGGAAGTCGGACAGGGAAATGTGAATTCAGGGTCATTACAAAATGTCTGTGAATTTTACAACATTGGACAAAGTCAGTCTGCAAATTAAATCATCCATAATAAAGATCATATGATATCTCTGATGTGCTTACATTTACTGTATAAAACAATAATGAATATTTTGAGTTATATGTGTATGTTTTTATACCCCCGCTTGAAAAGCGGGAGGATATATAGTAATCGTTAATTCCGTCCGTCTGTCCGTCTGTTACGCTTTGGGGTATCCATCTCATATCCGCAACTCCTCTCATACCACTGAATGAAATTTGATGAAACTTTCACAGAATCTTTATTACATATTGCCATTGTGCACCTCCTATTTTACTTTTTGATCCGACACATATTTTGGGTTTCAAGGCCACAGCAAAACATGGACTTTGCCATTATAACTATATGGAGGCGGGGGGTATCATTTAGTGAGCTCATCGCTCACAGTACCTCTAGTTTTATTCTACTTTATTTAATAACATTATTTAATGGGCACAAATTGAAGTCTTGATATGCAGTGTACATTTCTTTGATTTTTAGACAGACTAATGTACCAACAGAACAGACTATGTTTTTATATTAAAAATATCTCCACAATTCATGTATTTTGCTTATAAAATGTGTGTTAAAGTTACCATATTCAGAACACCATTACATGGACACAGGGTCAAAAGGTTTTAATGTCACAAATGTTGGACAATGTGGAAGTGCATATCAAAAGGGAAAACCAAAATTCATGCTCCTTTTGAACAAAAGCTGTTGCAAAGGCTCTTCCATTAATAAACTTACCCCGAGGGATAATATACAGGAGGTTTGATATATGGATCCCATTTGCAGTCAAGACAAGGAGTAAAAATGTAAATATAAGCATTGAATCATTATTTATAGAGAGATATAGTCTATAATAACTGTGAAGGTATGTGCAAACAAATTATTATTTTATTTTTAGCTCCTTTTTTTTTAGCTCACCTGAGCTGAAATTTCTTTACACCCATTATCTATGATCAATCCGTCTGTAAACTTTTCACATTTTCAACTTCTCAAGAACCACTGGGCCAATTTTAACCAAAGTTTGCATCCTTGGGAGAAGGGGATTTTAAATTATCAAAATGATAATTACAAGGGGAGATAATCAAGAAAAGACAAAAGTAGGGAGGGTCATTATAAAATCTTATCAAGCACCTGAGGACCTGAAAAGTGTAACTTTTAATCATGTGGAACCTTCTTCAAAAAGTGTAGATTCAAATTGTTTCATGGCCCCTATGCATAGGGTGGGGCCACAAGGAATCAAGGTTTTACAGTTGGAAAAATCTTTTTAAATCTTCTCAAGAACTATACTGGATCAGAAGACATGAAATTTAGAAGGGCACCCAGTTTATTCGATATGCAAATGCAGCTAGAGCATATACACCGTGTATATCCCAACATGCGGGGTGTATACTACTGTATGTTGTGCGCGGGGTGTATACTTCCGAAGCGAGAGAAAGGGGGTCAATGTACGTTCTTTGTCCATTTTCTCAACTTACGGATATTTTTCGCCAGTAAGCATATGCCTACGGAAGGAAGCATTGTCCAAGGAGTATATGGATTCCTGTGAATCCACTGGACACCTTCTAGTTTTATCAAACACCTCAACACAATTCCGAGGATCGGAGCAAGATTGACGCTACACTGTGTTTTTGTTCAAATATCAAAACAAAGCTTTGCTTTATCGTCACTTTTATATTATTGTTAAATACATGTTTACAAAATAAACGTTTGTACAAATTGTCTGCAAATAAAACAGTTCGTATATAAAGAAATTGACGAAAAATCAATGTTGTGTCCGGGGTGTATGCAACATGTTGTACGCGGGGTGTATACCCCTCTCTTTACTTTATAGTATCATCGTCTGAAATGTCATTTAAAAAATTGTTAACAATTGACTTTTGTAAAAGTTCTATTTATTTTTTAAATTATTCACCAGTTTTGTAATATCACAACTTCAGGTTCATGAATTCGATTTACTGGAAATAAAATTGATACACGTTCATCGTACTTTTGGCTTTGCATGCACATGAAAGTAAATGTACAGGATACTTTGTTTAACTGTTTAATGTGATGATCAACAATTCATCCCTTCTTTCGATTTAAAGGCACCTTATTCAGATCCTTTCTTAATAAATGCTTTACACATGCATCATTTTGAATAATTAACATTTTCTCATAACTTTTTTTCAATACTTTTTAAATGAGTTTGAAAATATTTAGCTTTTTGTAATGTCATAAACACCAGAAAAAATGTTCTCCTTCATGTAGTATTTATATGCTGTGTACTTTGCCCCCAGGAGCCCATATTTGGCAGTAAACTATTTGTTTTATATTGAGGCATTGTATTTTACTGAGTACATACTTTCTATAGGAATGGGCCCGAGGAGGGTGTGTTTGTGTCTTAGGCCATTTGGGAGGGGGGGGGTAACTTTACTACGTGTATATATGATAATAAATTAGAGGAGGGTGAACATGATTGATATTAATTACACGTCAACGTAAAATTTTCATTGTACCAAAAAAGTTTTTTTTTTCAATTGTGCATGCCCTCGGAAAATTGTCATCCCTTATTACAAATGTGCATTTTATAGCCGGCTTTACATGTTTATTGTGATTTGTAAAATATAAAATTTTTTCAGATAAGGAAAAATGAATCCACATATTGCGAAAATTGAAAGTAAAATTAATATATATGTATCATACAGACACGTAGTATCACCCCCCCCCCCCCACCCACCCCCCCCATTTTGCACCCCCCTTTTCTTGCAGCATATTCAAAAATGGTATGTAGTATGTTTAAGTAAAAAAGGAGAATTGGTACTGAAAAAAGATGGGACCTACAGCCCTATCTGAAATAGGAGTTTGAGTTTCGATACCCCCTTTTTTTATAGCTAGTCAACTTATGCCAAGGATTTTTTTTTTCAGGTATACCCCCCCTTCAAAAAAGATTCTACATCACTCTCATAAATGCTTAAGAATACATGTATTGATAACATAAATGTTGCAGAAACAAACAAAACGATTTATTCCTATACACCATTCATGTAGAGTTTCTATTTTTTATTAACAGGCGAAATATTTACCGGTAGATTAAAATGAACCAAAAAAGGGCAGTGTCCTCAATGCAGGCATTGGGGAGGGGGGGGGGGGGGGGCGAGGGACCCTTTGGAGAGATTTTATGATTACGTCGATTTAGATCATTGCACCATCTACAATGTAGCATTTATATATAGTCAACTAACAATCGCTCCTTGCAAATCGAGCGCCTTTTATGTTGGAATATGATGGTTTGTTTTTTATTCTTTTTTAAATTTAGTTGATTTTTTTTTTTTTATTTCAGAAAATTTATGGAAATTACTCTTTGGTTCGGCATTAGTATTAAGTTCTTTTATCAACACTATCTGTCGCTTTTAAACCTGTGTGAATATAATATTTCCATTGATACTTTGCATTAAACAATCCTAAGAAAAATATGAGGTATACACCCCGCGTACAACATGTTGCATACACCCCAACATTGATTTTTCGTCAATTTCTTTATATACGAACTGTTTTATTTATAGACAATTTGTACAAACGTTTATTTTGTAAACACGTATCTAACAATAATATAAAAGTGACGATAAAGCAAAGCTTTGTTCTGATATTTGATCATAAACACAGTGTAGCGTCAATCTTGCTCCGATCTTCGGAATTGTGTTGAGGTGTTTGATAAAACTAGAAGGTGTCCAGTGGATTCACAGGTATCCATATACTCCTTGGACAATTCTTCCTTCCGTAGGCATATGCTTACTGGCGAAAAATATCCGTAAGTTGAGAAAATGGACAAAGAACGTACATTGACCCCCTTTCTCTCGCTTCGGAAGCATACACCCCGCGCACAACATAGCATACACCCCGCATGTTGGGATATACACGGTGATATACCCTGCATATGAACAAAAAGAGGTAAGTTATTGACAAACAATTTGAAACAAAATTATCAATTCAATCTCATTTAAAGTTGTATGTTTTTCATATTGGTATGATATTATTCAGAGACAGAATTCTTGGTGTGTTTTTTTTTCCATCATATTCCAATCACACAAGGAGCACACTGTGGGTGTAACCTGTCTGCAAGGTATACTCACTCCTTCATGCCATCTGATTCCACTTCTGATGTTTTAGAGGTCTGTCAGTTTTGGCTTTTCTTCTGGTTTGTTTGAATGGACTTTTGAGCTTGAATCATGTATGTTTCTCCATATATTTCATGGAAGCTTCCTGATGTTTTGAAGATTCTAAATTATATTCAAATCATGGCACCCAGGAGTAGCTAGGTGAGGCCACAAGAGGAAATCAAAGTTTTACATTGAAATATTACATAAAAATTCTTTTAAAATCTTCTTCTTGAGTACTAGTATATGAAAGTTTCCTAAGTTGGTGTAGACTCAATTTTTTTTTTAAATCATCCCCCAGCCCTATTCCCACCCCTGTGAAGAACAGCATAGCCTAAGTTATTCAAGTGAGAATTGTGGTCAGAAAAAGGAGGAGGAGAAGGATGGGAGTGTGGGATGGGAGGGGGGTGAGAAGCATGATATAGGGATTAATAATATATAACATTTTCTTGGTCGCATTATTTTAAGTACAGGTCACAGGCACTTGTACATGTGTTTGTAATAATTCTTTAACCAATAGTATTTAATAACACGAGGTATCCCACTCTAAATTACACAGAGTATCCCCTTCCAAAAATTGCACTCATTTACACATTCAGAGGAAAAACACTGGTCTTTGCACTCCAAAGGTCAAGGTCAATAGTGTTGGTATACCCAAATCTTGTTACAGGGAATACACCTGTGAAATATAAAGTCCTGGTTCTAACTATTCAAAAGTTATGACCAAGGTTAAAGTTTTTAAAAAGTGGGTCAAACTCTAAGGTCAAGGTCAAAAGGTCAAACATATTTATACCCACTGAGAGGTCTTATCACAATGAATACACATATTGCCAAGTGTGAAGTATGAATTAAAGCCTTAGATGAAATTGTTCAAAAGTGATGAACAAGGTTAAGTGTGGTATTTTTTTTGTGTGAAAGTGGGTAAAATTCCAAGGCCAAAAGGTCAAATTTGGTGGTACCCAAAGAAAGGTCTTGTTACAAGGAATACACTTTGGCAAGGTCAACTTTTTTGTGGACAGACAGACGGATACAACAAAACTTCGTTTGAGGAGACGTAAAAATTATTCTTTATTTTATGTTTCGATGCAGAGTTGGTAATATATAAAATACATGGTTACTGTCTTGAAATATAAGCGATATTTGGGCGAGGGTAAGAAAACTTGATAGAGGGCGAGGCTTGCCGAGCCCTCTTGCGTTTTCGACCCGAGCCCAAATATCGCTTATATTTCAAGACAGTTATCATGTATTTTGTTTATCCTGCCACACAATTTTACATTTAAACGTCCAAAACAAGCTATTTCCGACAGATTTTAAAGCACATGCCTGCAGCTGAAACTATGACGCCATGGCGTAAACATTGCAATATACATGACGTCACGTACAATGCTTTTAGAACGTCGGAATACATGCACGAGGCTTTATTAGGGCAGTGACCGAATAAAGTTTATATTAGGTTACCTTTATTAGGTCAATGCAAGGGGTAGTTGCAGGATAAAAACAAGAATAGATATGGGTTACCCCATATCCAAAGATATTCGACTTTTAGATTTAATATGTTTAACAGTGTTTAATAATATACACAACTTTTTCCCGCAATTACGTCATAGTTACAGAGCGTAGCCATCACATGTCACGTGATGCATCCGCCATTACAACCGTGAAACCCGTGAGCCGTGAAAGATGTATAAAGATGGAGGGGGTGAATCTTGTGCGGTATTTAACTGTTTTAACAACAGAAAAAAAATTTATTTGTGGAAGCAGTCTATCTGCAAACTTCACGGTGACATTCTCCACAAAGATTGTCCGTGCATTGTTCCATACAGCCTTCACAAGATGCCTAAAGCGGAGCCCGAAAAACTTCAATGGCAACGAGCACTGCATCGCAATGATTTGCCGAAGAATGTGTTTGTATGTTCAACACATTTTATAGATGGGCGACCAACTGCAAGAAATCCCATACCCAGTCTGAATTTAGGTTTGTTTATAACATAAAAAAGCTGCATGCATAATGTTTAAAAATAGATTTGACATTGACAGCTGATTGATGTAAAGTGAAAGTAGAACGATGCTTGCAACGACGCATTCAAAAACAAGGCATAATATTAATTTATTGTGCCTTACCACGTTTTGAAATAATTTGTAAATGCAAGCACAAAATATAATCTATAGTATATAGTTTACATGCCTTATATTTTCTTGTTTTGATATGCAAACTTTTAAATTTTTAAAGCGAACTGAACGTGGGTTTCAAGAAAAAATGGTAACTACTATATAGCTTGCACAATTTATGTTTATGCACAAGATACTTAGAGTGGTAAGGTGGTCGTTTGATACAACCATACCCCCTTTATTCATCTGTTCAGTGATCTATGTACAAGTTAAATGCTGCTAGATTTTGTCTATTTAATGTAGAAAATTTTTGCAGGTTATGAAGCTCCCATAAAAGTTGGTCGTCGACTTTTGAAAAGGAAGTTTGTTGCAGAACAAAAGACGGATGGGTATGTGTGACTCCAAATAATGAAAGAGCAGAGATAAATATATATTTTGTAGTGCTGCCATTGAAAATAATTTCAGAAAATTAGATATTATTTTGATATTATTTTTAGAGATACCTGACAGCAACAGATCAGTCCCCCTCCCCACTTCCAAATTTGAATAAGTTAGTGCGATAGTTACCCCGTATAATATGTGGAGATACTCGATGAGAGTGGTCATAATGGTCATTTTCGAGCGCCATCTTGTTTTGTTTTTTTTTTTAACTTTTATTGTAAAGGAAACTTCTGCTATCACTTTCTGAAAAGATGAATCTTACGATATGCGTATTGTTGAAACTCAGGATCATTACAATCAATATATTCCTGTATCGTTACAACTCTATTTAAAAAATGAAGCTTATTTCAACTTACGTTAAATGATATAACATAATTTTGGGCAGTTTACACTTTGTGAACCGTGAAGCGGTTTATAAACTTAAGCGTAAATTGCCCCAAGTTATGTTTCGCAGTGTATAAAGCATAAACTGCCCAAAGTTATGTTAAATCGTATAACATAAGTTAAAATAAGCTTCATACCTTTATAATTTAATTTCAATAATGACAATGAGACAATTTTTCCTTATTTTCCTTTGGTTAAAGGCTTCAAATATTGCATATTTTAAATGTTAACGTCAAGTGGATTAATATGTTATTGACATAACTCATTGTGACGTAGGCAAGTTATGTTATACAAAATGGATAAAACCGTTTTACCAATCAAATGACATGTTACAACTAAAATTAAATTATTATCTATTAATAGAACTTGAAATTTATGATTTTGCTTTCATGTTTGTCAATTCTTGTATTATACTGTAAATCTTTTGCAGGACAGAAGTTATAAAACAAGGAGGAGAGATTTTTCAAAAACTGGCTGCTACTGCTGCAGATGAAGTCGAAACCCTCAACATTCAAACTGAACCAAACATGACATCTTCTTCTGTGCAGACGAGCATGACAGAAAGCAGAACTGCAGGCACACAGTGGACGGATCTCACACTGTGTGAACATGAATATGCAAGAACATTCCTTGCAGGATCCAGGAATTCAGGTACACAAACAACAGTCATCAAGACGGAGGAAAAAGGTGTAAACTGCAGCACTCTACACGTACGTCTCAGTGCTGCTGACATAACAACTAACTCCTTAGCCTTGCTTTACACAGGACTGCCATTGAAGACTCTTAGAACTCTTTTGCGTGTTATGGAAAGTTTGAACAACCCACTGACATTTACTATGCCTGTGTCAGATCAAGTCTTACTAGTTCTTATTAAATTAAGGCTTAATTTACTGTTTGCAGATATTGCCAACAGATTTGGTATATCTGAGTCTCATGCATGCAATATTTTTAATCAAAGACTCTCTTTTATGGCTTCAAAACTTAAAAACTTAATAGTTTGGCTTCCACGTGAAACAATTAGAGCAACCATGCCAAAGTCTTTTCGTGAGAACTTTCCCAAAACTACAGTCATCATTGATTGTGCAGAAACTTTTATTCAACGAGCAAAAAACTTAAAGACCAGAGGAGAAACATATAGTCACTACAAGTCGAACAACACAGGGAAGTATTTGGTTGGTATTGCACCACATGGTCAGATTATGTTTATATCTAAGGGCTTTGGAGGAAGGTCTAGTGATAAAGCAATTGTGGAAGAATCGGATGAATATCAATTACCTTCTTCCTGGGGATGAAATCATGGCCGATCGAGGTTTTACCATCGATGACCTACTCTTTCCTCTGAAAGTGAAACTTAACATTCCAGCTTTTACAAAAGGTAAAGACCAACTTTCAAACAGGATGTTACAGAGATCAACACAATTGCCATTATTATTTACGTTGAACGGGCTATTAGACGATTTAAGGTATTGCATATTGAGTCAGATAGTTCCAGTTACCTCGGTGAAGAAACTCAGTAAATACTTGATTGTTTGTGCTGCATTGGTAAACTTACAGCAATAACCTTATCAAAGATGATGATGAGTAAATAATGATTATGGTGAAATTATAAATTCAGCTTTCACCTCCTGGGTTGGGACGATACATTGATATATACTATTATCTAAGATACGGTTTAGAATACATGCATTAAAGTATCAGATGGAAACATTTCACAAACAACCTTTTGAAATTTTTTTTTTTGTAAACTCAAGTTGGTTACAGACTTTCATTAATCAATATCAATGTACATGACTTTTTAAAAATGAATCTTTAGTAAGTGTTCTTGATAAACTACACTACTATTTGTAATCAACTTGTGTATAGACATTTGGCAATATGTACAATTTATATTGTTTTTGTAAATTTCTAGTCAAAGAAATTTATGAACATCAAATATTGATTTCAAAGCCCATGATTTGATGTAGAAAAATTTGTCCATTTAAAGTAAAAATAAAATGAAATAAAATATAAAGTTTTTTAATTGGCTACATATTTCTTATTAATTATATTATCAAGATCTGTATTGTATCATGTAGCATGTATTTAGATTAGATGTAACATTATCATGTTTGTATTCAAGATCTATGTATTGTCCCACCCCTATACACTACTGCAATCAGTTTATACCTGTCAATTTTGTTTATATTATCTTTACATCAGCAGGTTTCATTAGGATATTATTTTATAATAACATTATGTTTTCACATTATTAGCTCACCTGAGCCGAAGGCTCAAGTGAGCTTTTCTGATCAAAATTTGTCCGTTGTCTGTCGTCGTTGTCGTCGTAAACTTTTCACATTTTCATCTTCTTCTCAAGAACCACTGGGCCAATTTCAACCAAACTTGGCACAAAGTATCCTTGGGTGAAGGGGATTCAAGTTTGTTCAAATGAAGGGCCACGCCCTTTTCCAAGGGGAGATAATCATGGATTTGTAAAAAATTAATGGCATTTTTAAAAAATCTTCTTCTCCAGAACCGCTGGGCCAGGAAAGATGAAACTCATGTGGAAGCAACCTCAGGTAGTGTAGATTCAAGTTTGTTCAAATCATGACCCCAGGGGCAAGGGTGGGGTCAAAATGTCCGACCCAAGTTTTACATAGGAATATATAGGAAAAATCGTTAAAAATCTTCTTCTCCAGAACCACTGGGCCAGGAAAGATGAAACTCACGTGGAATCATCCTCAGTTAGTGTAGATTCAAGTTTGTTCAAATCATGACCGCCGGGGCTAGGGTGGGGCCAAAATGGCCGACCCAAGTTTAACATAGGAATATATAGGAAAAATCTTTAAAAATCTTCTTCTCCAGAACCACTGGGCCAGGAAAGATGAAACTCATGTGGAATCATCCTCAGGTAGAGCAGATTTAAGTTTGTTCAAATCATGACCCTCGGTGCAAGGGTGGGGCCAAAATGGTCGACCCTAGTTTTACATTGGAATATATAAGAAAAATCTTCTTCTCAAGAACCACTAGGACAGGAAAGATGAAACTCATGTGGAATCATCCTCAGGTAGAGGAGATTTAAGTTTGTTCAAATCATGACCGCCGGGGCTAGGGTGGGGCCAAAATGGCCAGCCCAAGTTTTACATAGGGATATATAGGGAAACCTTTTAAAATCTTCTTTACAAGTACTTCAAAGCTACGATTAGTGATATTTATATGGAATCATCCTCAGGTAGTGTAAATTCTAGTTTTTTCAAATGATGAACGCCTGGAGGGGGGTGGGTTGGTGGGAGTAAATTCAAGCCTGATGTGCTCAGGTGAGCGCTGTGGCCCCTGGGCCTCTTGTTATAATATTTGTCAGTGTAACTTGCACCAATATTTGTTAAAAAAGATACTGTGCTTGGGCATATATCATTTGTATTAAGGTAAAAACCATTCTGACTGATTTCTTAAATTATTAGGCATAACATGGGAGTGAGTCCAAAAGTTTTATGTCTGATAAGAAATCTAAATTCACTTATTTTCCAATCAATGGTTTGCCAAGATTTTAATATGTTAATTCAATTTTGATCACAGTACAAGTATTTTTTACACAGAAAAAAAAAACAAATTTCTTTTGTTCATTTAAAAAAAAAAAAAAACATTTGAAACTCCATTCATGTGAAGTTAAGTACCGGTTATGGGTACATTCATGCACACTTAAGTCTTTACATGTCGGTCAACAAATACTGTTTAGGCTTCTTGACCTCCACACTTCTACTAACTATTTGAATTTACTTTTTTATCAGACATTGATTTTTTGATGTGGCACCAAACTTTAAAAAAAAATGTGTACATATTATACACATGTATTTAGTAATAAATGATTACCTCAGAATGAAAAGATATTTGATTTTTGTGTTAGAAACAAGTTTTATTTGCATCAGTTTGAAAAATTTTCATATTTTTTACTAATCTTCAATCTGCCAGATTCAAAGTCATCAACTACTCTGGGTAAAAGTTTGTTGAAGTAAAATAAACGTAGCCTTGAAATTGATGATTGACAGAACTGTTGGTTATGTTGAACATCAATGATCTTGTATTCATTAGCTGTCCATATAACAAGTTTGCACAATTCTAGATGTGTAACATGCAAAGTCAATTGTATCTGTAGATAATATCCTCGTGAACTGCTCTGCTTTAGGGACAAAGAATCATTTTGCAATGATTTTACAACGTCATATTTACCAGCTGTAAATAAACTGTCAAGGGTCTGGTCATTTTGTAGTATTGGGCATTTTACTTCTAAAAGACATTGTGTGCCATCATCTTCAGTAATTATTCCGTCGGGGGAAACACTGAGCCAGGGCTCTTCACCTGAAACGATGGTCCCTGCATCTTCTATTTGTATTCCAGCCAAACGCAGTTGTTGTTTTGCAAGCTTTTCACCAATCTGTCCATGTTTTGTGAATTTATTGCCTTTAAAGGAAGGATATAAATGCTCTCTAATGAAGTTATCACTATTTGTAGTGTCACGGATTGGAACTTTGTGAGCAGTGCTGCCTGTTATTCTAATTTTTCTACTGTTATGCCACAGTTCTGATTGACTTTGTGAAATAGTTGTATGAGATAAGGACTTGATTTGAGATTCAGTAAGTTTTATATACTTGTTAAAAAATTGGCAACACTTTTTACACGTAAGTTCTGCAGAGTGTTCAGTATGAGGTTCAGATGAAGGTTTGAATTGAAGAGTATCCACTTTAGCTTGCACAGATTTTTTTAAAAGAGAATTTTCTACTGAGAACAATTCCTGAAGTTCACTGTTTTGTACAAAATATTTAAAGGATTGATGGGATACAAACATGGGGAATATTGATTTTGTGTTTTGTGGTTTTTCATCATTATTGTTAACGTCACTACTACCGTATCTAGGTTTCTTAAAATCCATCTCCTCAAGAATACCTGGTTCCAGGTTTCTCGTTGAACCCTTGTTCCATTGCATTTGTTCATCGGTACAGGATTTGCCTGTTAGTCCTGACCTCACAGCATATTCAATTTTCCATAGCACAGCACCGACATGACTACACGTTTTACTATTCCCTGCCATACATGAACAACCAGCACTAAAAATCGTGCCAACCATGTCACATATAATCCATGCATTATGAAACTCTGAGTTGACTTTTTGTGAGGGGCGTACTTCAGATTTTAAAACAACTATTGTTTTGTTGATAACAAAATGTAGAATTTTCCCCACGGAACCACTTTTAAAATAATTGAAACTGTCCAAAGATTTGTAGTTTTTCATCCCTTGGCCATCACACGCCTTACTCAAAATTAAATAATTGTAAATATCACCATACTCAACTTGGGGCCACTCCCGCATATCGTCCTTCCATTCTTGCGGTTTGACCACAGGCGCTTGTTTCATACAGTGAGCTTAGTTTTCTACTATATAATAACACAAGGTATCCATCTTTCTCGAGACCAAAAATGTAGGTCACCAATTCAAACCCCTTTTTTATTTATTATCCGCCGCTGGCAACAAAAAACCCACATGTAATGGTTAGCGGAATTCCCCTTCTTGGGCCTCATGTATATTTCCTTACCTCACCCCCTCGCGAACTTTGACATTGACCATAAAATTACACGCTTCGTCAATCGAAAGAAAAAGTACATCTCTAAACCACTCTCTACCATCGGCTCATAAGGCGCACTTGTTTCATAAGCCGGGTCAAGCCGGTTAATATTCCGGAACCGGGCAAGTCACTTGTTTCAAATATATTTAAGCCGCCGGGCGGTCAGAAAGTAGCCCGGATCGCCCGAAAAATTTCGAGCGGCCAAATGAAAAGCAATATGGCGGAAAACGGAGGTAGAAATGTTCTTGATGGTGAAACATTCGTTTTTTATCATTTGTCGTAGTCTCGGTGTCAATAAACAAACATTACTGAGATAATAAGAGACTTTTGCAACACATTTGTTTACATTTGCACGACACAATTTTTTTTTTTCAATTTTAAAGCTGCTTTTCAGTTCTGTGGGTAACGAGACCCCATATATGCTCCAAATTCACAAATTGTACATTGAATGGAACTAGTAAATATTAAAACGAAATATATCCACTAAATCGTTGTTCTCGTGCGTTCAGATAATTTTTTTTTACAGCAACAGCACCAATACCAGCCAATCCGGCTTATTTTTCACTCGTTTCAGCGACACTAACCGGGTCAATATGCCATGTGATAAAAGTGAACCGGGTCATCGCCCGGCTGTCTGAAACAAGTGCGCCCATTCATTCACCTCTGTCGTTGGCTCGCGTATACACAGTGTTAAACACGAGAAATAGTGCGTTTGTTTTAATTCATTATAATTCAATTTCTATAATTATGTCTGAGTTTTGAGATATATATTTACTAAACCAATACAGAACTATTAATTTAAATTGAAACAATTCTTCAAATATCACGTTTTATACGTTATGTCAAAAATCTTGACGTGAGCCCATTGCAGAGGTGTCTGAGAGAGAAACGAACGACAACTCTGCATAGGAGATTGCTCTAAACAGCTCAGCACTTCCGGTTTGGCAACCACGATATGATTCACAAGTTCTCATTGGCTACTGGTACTCTCGGGAGTTTTCCATGCAATTGTACAAGGCACAAGAGAAAACCGAAATATTATTTTGGCGCAAATTTGAAAATCTATATTGTTCTAGGTTTTCTGTCAAATATTTTGTAAGATGACAACGTGTTGGTGATTTTTAAGATGATTTGATAGTTATTATTTAAGCAAAAATATTTTGTTATGGATCCTCTCTACACCAGAGCAAAATGTACCAGTAGCCAATGAGATCTTGTGTTTTATATCGCGATTGCCAAACCGGAAGTGCTGAGCTGTTTAGAGATGTACTTTTTCTTTCGGTTGACGAAGCGTGTAATTTTATGGTCAATGTCAAAGTTCGCGAGGGGGTGAGGTAAGGAAATATACATGAGGTCCAAGAAGGGGAATTCCGCTAACCATTACATGTGGGTTTTTTGTTGCCAGCGGCGGATAATAAATAAAAAAGGGGTTTGAATTGGTGACCTACATTTGTGGTCTCGAGAAAGATGGATACCTTGTGTTATTATATAGTAGAAAACTAAGCTCACTGTATGAAACAAGCGCCTGTGGGTTTGACATCTTTTGGCGAGGAAATAATTCGATCTTTACAATTTTCACATTGATATTGATTCATATTTGAGGCAAACGAAAGAATTTACAAGATTTTCATATATTAAATGTTGTTTGTGCGCTAATATTTACAGTTGAACAGTACGAACTTTCGCCGACACCGGTGTGTTGTTGCTACGGAGTTTGTTTATGCAGCGTCACGGATGCAATGGCGGCTGCTTTCTGCGACCCCTACCGGGATGAAATTTTACTAAGGGAAATAACTGAAAAAAGTTGTGTATAAAACTGCACTGTCTAGTTATAGAACTTGTGTAAATTTCGTGAGTCCGTAACGTTACGGTCACCCCATCTCCTAACCATGCTAACAAACAGTACACATACCAATGTCCGCAAGACCAGTTAGCCTTGTTCTATACACACGTGTGATGGAGTTGTCAAACGGACTCCCGCGAACAGAGAAGTTACGATGGCAGACAGAACTTTTTTTCATAATTAGATCACATGAATACAAATTCTGATTAATAAAAATTAAACGATTGTCAGTTTAGGAATCCCCGGCTAGTTCGGGTTTTGTTACACATTTTATAGATACTTTCCCTATGTGTAGTTTGTCTACACACGTGCAGGAATCTGCTCAGGGATTGAAAATTCCGTCATTGAATATACTACACACACAGAATGATTATTTTTTTTCTCTAAGAGGAAACTATATGATAATTAACGAACAATTAACATGATTTTACTACAGTTGTTGATATAGTATAATCAATTCATCAGTGAAAAAAATATCAACCGAAGAATGACCTAAATATTCTCTGTTATCAAACATGTTAAAAAAAAAAAGATGAGGAGGGAGGAGGGAGCGAGCGTAGGAATATTAACATTTCTTATTTGCATTTAGGGGGAAAAGAGATCTTTGGAGGAAAAATTAACATTAATTTTGGTTTCTTTTACGTATGACATACTATACAATTATTGCTGTTTTTTGAGGTCAATACAATGATTTAGCCATCTGAGTAGTACAATATTCACCGAGCCCGAAGGGCGAGGTGAATATTGTACTTCGAAGATGGCTAAATCATTGTATTGACCTCAAAAAACAGCAATAATTATTTTATTATATGATTCACTGATAAAATGATACAGCTCATTCCTTGTTAACTTGCATTTAATTAAGTCCTATAGCCAAATACAAGAGAGAAACAGAATTAAAATGTGAATAAACCTTACCAGTCCTATCAATTTGAAATGTTTTTTTTTTTTTATCAATTTTAGTTTCCATGATTAAAATAATATAATGTCAGTCTTTTTATAGGATAAATTTTGAAAGGAAGGAGCATTATCAGGGAAAACTGACTGCCAAAAAGTAAAAAAAACATGTTGTTCAGTAAAAGTGTTGGAGGTGGGAGGGGTTCCTGCATCCCTTCTTACCACCCTCACCCTAAAATATATATTCGCTTATGTTTTTTCACATGAAAAAAAAATCACAGTCGTTTAAATAGCTTTCCAAAACAATTTGTATCAATTTGGAATTTCCCAATCTATTTTTAGATCAATGTAGAGGAAATAAATCCTTGTATTGACCTGGAACGTCACGTGCAGGTCAATACAACGTAGTATTTCTTTAACATAGCTGGATCTCAGCCAATCAGAGAGATGGAAAATATTCAATCATATAATAAACAAAATTATTATACTTCTGTTAAAATGTTTCCTATATAAAGTTCAGAGGGTAAAATAACTATCCTGTATAGTCCATGCATAGCAAAGCTATACCCCGGGGTATAGTTTTTGCTATCCACCCTCGGAAAATTTTCATGCAATTTTTGCCTCCAGTTTTGATTTCCAACGATAAATCTTTAAACTGATGATGTCATAATGACTTCAGTTGCATTGTGACGTCATCAGGATTTCAGATTATTCTTGCAGAATTATCTTACTCCAAAAAATTCAAACCTCAGAAATTATATTATACATCAGTATAATAAAACGCTTATTCACTGGTTGTGAGTGGGATAGCTCTTTTATCAAACCCGCGACAGAGAACTATTCCCCGAGGGCTTGCCCGAGGGGAATAGTTCCTGTCAATGGTTTGATAAAAGAGCTATCCCACTCACAACCAGTGGATAAGTGTATATTATTCTCATCATGAACAATTATGTTGTATTTACTTATTGATGATGGAACTATTTTCGTCGGAACAATATGTGTGAGCCGCCGCTGACTACAGTAATATATCTTGAACTAATAGTATGCACTGATCGAATATATTAATAAACACCGTTCCAGTCGATACTATTGACTCTCAGTACCTTTAGTACTTTGATCAACACGTCCTAGTTCCTTTCAAAATGAAAGTAGACTGCATGTACTCAAGGTCTATATTTTGTGCAAAATGGAGCAGATACATGAGAACCATCAACATGATCAACGGAAATACTTAAAAGTAATGAACTCATAACCACTACTGAATTATTCACGAAGACAATATGATGACATCTCAAATTGTCAGATGAGAATCAAGGCCAAAACCACGAAGAACAGCTTTATAACAAAATGTTGGCACTGTTGGTCCAGTGCAGAAACCGGATAGTTGCATTCCTCTGGAATTTCATAATTTTATATTGGATGACTAGTCAGATAATATGTTGTGGTATGTTGTCAGGTTGTGTTGTTTACACAGGCACTGGATGTTGACATGGTTAATACAGAATGTGCTTAAATAGCTTCTTTATATTGATAATTTTAAAATCTCTAAAATTACGTCTCGCTAAAAATAAATTACCATATTTTAAGGACAAATCGCTAAATTTGCATCTCGCTAAAATTTCCACTTATACGATATTATATAGTTCTGATAATAAGCATAAATAACTTTAATTTAATTAACATTATTAAACTTAATTTACTTTATGTTCAGCACTAGGTTAGTGCAAAGTCTTTTTTTATATTATCTACACAGTAAATTTATGACAAAAATACATTTTTCATTATAGGAAGACCAAATATTTTATTCATTGTGTTAGATGATTTCCGACCTATTCTACGCAGTTATGGAAACCAGTTGATAGAGGCTCCTAACATGGATTATGTAGCCAGGAACTCTGTAGTCTTTACCAAAGCATTTGCTCAAGTGAGATTCTTTCATTATGTGGAAATTGTAAAGAGTTTATGACATACCAGTGAAAAAAAATTGCAAGACACTTTAGACAGTGAGAATTAAAACTTTATTAGTTTACCTGAGCTGAATGCGCAGTTGAGCTTTTCTGATAAAAATTTGACTGTCTTTAGATCTTTAACAATGTTCTGTTTGGATAACATTTTCACATGTTCTTCTTCAGAGCTACTTGGCCAGTGTTAGCAAAACTTGTCACAAAACGTCCTTGGGTAAAAGGAGAAATAAAGAGCATCCTCTTTCAATTGGAACATCACTCAGTCTTTTTCCGTCAAGTCCGTCTCAACTTTAAGGAAAAGACCGAGTGATATATTCCGATTGATTCTCTGTTTTAAGGGGATATAATCAAGAATTTAAAAAGATTCCATGGCATCTTTTAAAATATTTTTTCTAGAGCCATAGGACCAGAAAAGATGAAGCTGCAAAACCTTTATCACTCTCGGGTACACAGTGTAGATTCATGTTTCTTTAATAACATGATTTCTATGGATAGAATGGGGCCACAAAGGGCATTCAAAATTTAACAAAGGAACACATGAGAAAAATCTTCTCAAAAATAGAAAAGCCATTGGTCATTTCAATACAAGTATCCTGAAGTATTGTTGATTCAAGTTTGTTCAAATCAAACCCCTAGGGGTAGGTGGGGTCACAATGAGCAAACAAAATCTTTAAAAAAAAGTTCTTATCAAGAACACAAGACATTGATTAATTATGTTTAAGCAAGGATGTAGAAGCACTTCACTTATCAGTGAGTAAACCAAGGCCTTTTTCACCAAAACAAAAATGTGCATCCTCTGGTCTCTCATTTACGTGAACAGGGGCTTAGCAGTTGTATACTCATAAGTACTTGAATAAGTTTTTGTCAAAATTCAAAGTCATTATGTATCTAAAATCTAAGCTATTTGACAAATGTAACTGATATTATTTTATTTTTATCTCACAGCAAGCCCTGTGTGGACCTAGCAGGACTTCGTTTTTAACTAGTCGTCGGCCAGACACAACAAAACTCTGGGATGTACATTATTACTGGCGAAAAGCTGCTGGGAATTACACAACTCTGCCTCAGTACTTCAAACAAAATGGGTATCATACAGAATCCTTCGGGAAAATATTTCATCCAGGTATTAACAAGATTTTAATTCAAATATAGATCAATCAATGTGTGCTTACTGCATGAGTACAAGTATTAGAAACTAGAAAGAGGATTTCTGATTTCCTATTAACTCGGAGGGAAGTCATCTTTATTTTTTTACAGGAATAGTTTCAGGACATACCACAGATTACCCCTACAGTTGGACTGTACCTCCTTATTTACCCTCCACACAACAGTACAAGATGAAAAAGGTAACTTCCTCAGGAATCCATCCCCACCATTTATTTTAAAGATTGATGGTCACTCTTTTCTTTTTGAGTGGTTTATCAATTAGATGCATGAGCAATGTTTTTAAACTCTTGTTTTGCTTATAGAAAGAAATGAATTATTTCATAATGATTTTGGATAATTTTTTGGATGATACTTTATTATATTAAATGATATTTGATATTTGTATTCATTTTATTATCTTTTTAATGCAGGTCTGCCCTGGTCCACAAGGCAAGCTACAGATGAATATAGTTTGTCCAGTGAATGTCTCCACACAGCCAGAGCAGACTCTACCAGATATCCAATCCACACAGCATGCTGTACAATTCATACAAAAATGGACCAATCAGAGCAAACCTTTCTTTCTGGCTCTTGGGTACCACAAACCTCACATCCCATTCAAATTTCCAGAGGAGTTCCTAAGTATATAGAGACAATTAAAATGAAGATTATCTTAACAGAAAAGAATAATAATTAGTAATAATTAATTATTATGAATAATTTACATTTGATCCTTGCATGATGGAAAAAATTTTAATAGAATGTTGAATATGCACTATTCTGTCAAAACAAAATTTAGTCAGATTTGAAAAAAAAAGTCTTAAGTCCTAAGTTTTAATGTTTAAGATGTTTATTTTATGCTGCGTTTGTAGAATTGTACCCAATAGAGGATATTAAACTTGCCAAGTACCCCACCAAACCCCCAGGTCTCCCCTCGGTGGCCTGGAATCCGTGGGCTGATCTGAGAGAAAGAGATGATGTCAAGAGCCTTAATGTTAGTTTTCCATATGGCCCTGTTCCAGAATACTTCCAGGTATACTGTAACATGTACTCTGAAAAAGTTATATATATATTTTTCAGGTTTAATTTTCATTGATTTCTAATTCATATGTTATTAATACATGTATAATAACTCAAAAACATGGCAAAGTCTTTTATATTGATCTAGATATTTATATACGTTGATATGTGAATTTTAACCAATCAACAAAAATTTGGTCCCATCAAATTAGAATTCTATGGACTTGTAAATTGCTTCAGAACAGAGATACTGTATACTTTTATCTTTTTAAGTCTTGATTCAAATGTGCTCAGTTCAAAGCCAAAGCAAAGTCTTCTTTTTTGGGGGGATGGTTGTTGGAAGGGGTTACATCTAGGATTGAAAGAGGGATTCAGAGTTCAGTTAATAAGTGACAATAAGAGGGGTCAGTAAGAGAAACATTGCACTTAGGAATTTGAGGATTGTGACCCCTTTTGTATCTTGTTTTAAGGATTCAGCTGTGATATCTGTTAAGTATTTCATTTGTTCATGCAGAAGAAGATGATTCAGAGTTACTATGCCTCGGTGACCTACATAGATGACCTTCTGGGTCATGTGCTGACTGCCTTACACAAGAATGGCTTTGCCAAAAACACTGTCACAGTACTTCTAGGTGATCATGGTAAGCTATGATGTCACAAGTTGTAAAATTTCTTACAACCAATATATACATTGACCTAGTAACTTTCTAATGACTTTTTCCACAGGTTGGGCCCTTGGTGAGAACCAAGAATGGTCCAAGTTCAGTAATTTTGAGGTGGCCACTAGAGTGCCTCTGTTGGTGTCAGTACCAGGATTGACATTTGATCTCCATAGACCATCTCAACATGTTTCCTTATCCAAAACAGCATACAATAAATATCAGACCACAGATGGTCTGGTAGAACTGGTAGACATTTTTCCTTCTCTGGTGGAACTTGCAGGACTCCCTGCCTTAAAAACGTGTCCACAGAGTTCCTTCAATATAACTGTGTGTACAGAAGGGCTCAGCTTCGTGCCTTTGATAAGAAATGCTACCCGACCAGACATTAATCCTCCCCTGAAAAGCTGGAAGTCAGGAGTATTCAGTCAGTATCCCCGGCCAAGTCTGAAGCCCCAGGAGAACAGCGATCAACCAAAGGCCATCGATAGCAGAATCATGGGTTACTCCCTACGATCCCAGAACAGCAGATACACAGAATGGATTCAGTTTTATCCCAACAACTTCACAGTGAACTGGAACAAAGTGTTTGCCAGGGAGCTGTATTTACATGACACAGATCCAGAAGAACATTACAATGTGGCCTCTTTACCTTCATACCAGGATATTGTACATAAAATGTCTGTAAAACTAAGAAAAGGTTGGAGAGCAGCACTGCCAAAAAACTTCAAGTATACCTCCTCATTCAATCTTGCATAAATAAAGAAATAAAATTATATGTATAGTATCTTTATTGTGGTATTTGAAACTTTTGTACATGCAAGTTTACCACTATGTTAATTAGGTCACATTCTTCCCCCATACCACATTGTTTTAAAACCAAAAAAGGGAATTCTCACCAAGCGCAAGGATTAAAAGACGAGATCCTGGAGCTATAAAATTCCAACAAGTTTTCATTTGTCAATTGATTTCACCCTCACATTTACACAATGGGAAACATGATGAGCAAGATGCCTATTTTATGGAAAAATTAAGAAAGGGGAAATCTAAATCTCAAATACCGGTATAACATTTTTTTCATGGTATTTTAATTTTTAAAAAATGTTGTGCATTAAATAATTTACAAATGCAATTTGCTGTCATGCTCTCTATGGGTAATGATTGAATAAAGGATTATTTGCTATATTCTATATCTATAAAGTATAAAGAAACCAGAACAAAGATAGTTTTTATATTTACTTTTCGTTGCTGTGTTTTCTATGAGGGCGCTTCATGGAAAATGCCTATATACGAAAATGCCTATACGTGACAAGTCTGTGCGATTAGCGCACCAATAACTCAAACAAAACTTTTTTTTTTAAATTCCTAAATATCTTTGATAAATTAATACGTACAAAAATCTTTTAAAATATATCAATGAGTGCCGCAGAGAGTGAACAACTTCCATCCATTCTTCAAACTTGGTATTAAAAGGGGAAATCCACACCTCTCTTTAATTTATGCCTCAAACATATATAATACGAACTGGAGATGTTTATGTAAAAACAATGATTAGTTGGGATACTGTACATGATATATCATCGTCTCAAGCCACGGTCCGGAGTCCGCATATATAGCTCTCTCCAGAATGGAAGAGGATCGTACATTCTGGCCATGGTTTGCGACGATGATGATATATGGACAGGAAAATATAATTTTCCAAAGTTCTATACATGTGTATTAGGTGTATCCGAGCTAAAAAAAAAAATATGAGTTTAGATATACAAGATACATACGACGTTCAAATTAAAATTTTCAAATTGAATAAGTTGACGTTTATATAGTTCAATTGTACGGAAGCGTATTAGGGCCGCAGCACTATCTTTTATTCATTTGTTAAAACAGATTAATAATTTGTTATAACAAAATATTATGTTATATCAAATTATTAATCTGTTATATCAAATTATTAATTTGTTATAACAAATTACTAATTTGTTTAAACAAATTGATAATTTGTTAAAAACAAATTAAAAAAAGATACTGCTGCGGCCCTAATACGCTTCCGTACAATTGACTTCATTTGTTAAGTCGCTAAAGAAATCGGTTATTAGTTTAACATTTTTTATATTTCTTTAAATTGTGTAGTTACAGGAAAGTCATAACTTTATATAAAGTAATAAAACAAAACAAGGTCACCCCTCTTTTGTTGCAGTTAAGACCAATACTGGTTATGTACGGACGTGCTTGATTTGTCTACACCTTACACCCGGTGTACACTTTTCCATAATCAAGTGCAAAAGTGTACACTTTAGGTGTATACCATCTACAACCTGTGCAGAGCATGTGTAGGGAATTGAACCAAAAATTCAATAGCGTTGACAAATGCCAAGACAGTAAAACTTCAGAATGTCTTTTTCTGTATTTGAGAATACTGTCAAGTATTTGATAGGCTGATTTTGATAAATTATTTTCAGTAATATAGTGGACCGTGTTTTGTGCATTTAATGGAAAAATAAAACACTTCATATTTTGTAAAATTAAAAATATGCTTTTGCAAGTTTGGGTGATAAGATCTCTAGATATTTTTGACTATGGCTAGATATTTAGTTATAGGGTTTATAAGGGGTGCACTGGCAATGAATCTGTTTTATAGAAAAAGCTTTGCCTTTTCATGAAGTGTTTGGCTTTTAAATGGATTTTAAAAATTGTTTACAATCGCAACAAATATTTTATTAAAAAATCTTAAATCTGCAAATGGCATTCCCTCAGCTGGTTGAAATTTTGACGTCCATGTTGAATTTGCTACACTACACCCAATTTCACTTGATTATCAGGTGTAAATCTTCTACACAAGGGTTAATAAGTGTAGACAAATCAAATGCGCCCGTAGTGTACGAAAAAAAAAGGTACTGAAAGGAGTTAGGACCTGGTACGTGTATATATAACACCCTTATCCCCCGCCCCCCGAAATAGGATTATACCTCCCCCAATCTTTTTTTGAGCCTGTCAATTTTTTGGGGAAGGGGGGATGGTGGAATTTTTTTCTCTGGCTGCCCCCCCCCCCTCTTCAAAATCTATAGTATACAGGTGTATTATTTTTAAGTTAAACCACTACATGTAGTTCATGTGTTTAAATTGTGTGAACTAAGATAACATTTTTAAAACTAAAGTTACAAGCTTCTTTTTCTTTTGTGTGTATTTTTTATTATTAATATAATTATTTATTAATAATAAGTGATATTGTAACGGGTGAAACACAATAAAGGGGACAGTAAGGTTGCACTTGAGGATAAAAAATTAATGTCTTTATTTTGGCCCAAATTTTTTTTTTCTAAAAAGTAGATTATCTCAAGGATCTGAAATTCACATTAGAACTTTGTTTTTTACAAGCTGATAATAGCCTCATTTACACAGGTTACGGACACTACAAGTGTTGTTGTTTTTGAAATAAATATTGAAAACTGCTTATAAACTTTAATTTTTTGAACTGCTCACAAACAAACAACATATAAAAATACAAAATATGGACAAAAGTTGTACTAATCAAAGTACTGAAACTACTGCTACGAGTTGATGGTATTGTTTGTACGTTGTTTAACATCCCTCTCGAGAATTTTTACTCATATGACTAGGCATCACCACTTGCCAATGTAGAGCTGCAAATTTTGCCCTATGCTCGGCACTTTACGGCCATTGATCAGTGATGGATCTTTTTTGTACCAGCACATACTGCGACACAGGACCTCGATTTATACGTTCTCATCTGTAGAACCGGTCGCCTCGTCCCATAGTGGGATTCGAACGCACGATGTAAGGATCAACTACTTACTGTTAAAATGAGTTGAGGTCACTGATGCATATTTGGGTTATATATGTGTTACAGTATGTGCTCTGATGAAAAATTAAATAAAGCAGCTTTTCACACAAATATTTCAAACTAAGAGGACCAACCTTCAACAATATTAAAATAGGGAATTATATAAACTTACAAAGAGCGCAAATGAATAAAATCATTAATATGCACAATAATATGCACATAAAATATTTTCACTATTTTCATAAATTGACAAATAATTTGACATTTTCAGTGCACATCAATATGTTTTATTTCTCGTGATTGAGCCACTCTTATGCCCTGTTCACACGACGAGTTTAATTCGCAGTAAATTAATGCGAAGTAAACTAATGCGAATCAAATTAATGCGAATTAAATTGCGTTCACACGACAGCTAATGCGAAGTAAACTAATGCGAATTAATTTTTTTCTTCTACAGTCAGGCGTCAGTAAGTCTATTATGACGTCATTTGTAAATTACGTCATGTATGTAGAGCCATCCTTTGATACATCATGTAGTGGCTACAGGTATTCATTGATTTTAGTGATTAACATACTTTCCCTCAGTTTTTGAACCAAATATAGCACAAATACCTATATATAACCACCAACACGTGTCCTGTGACTTAATTCTGGCCTTACGCATGCGTCAAAATTTAATTCGAATTAGCTTCGCTTATCGTTCACACGGAGCTAATGCGAAGTAATTTAATGTGCAGTAAATTAATTCGACATAAACTAATTCGCATTAAATTCTCCGTGTGAACGCAAAGCGAAGCTAATTCGCAGTAACTTTACGTTTAATTTGAATTAAACTCTCCGTGTGAACAGGGCATTAAATTTCAAATCTTCTATTTTCATTGATATGCATATTACAAAATTGAAAATTTTGATTTCTTTAATATGGTTATTGAAATTCGGCTCCTCGTCTTTCAAAATTTGCAATATATTTTATATTTTCTTGATTTAGCCACTCCTGAAATTCAACTCCTTGTCTTGTATGGTCTTTGATATGCAAAATAAATACTCCAATTCTCCCGATTCAGCTGCTCTTAAAATTCAATGCTTTTTGACTTTTAGTTGAAATGAACATTTTAATTTTATGTTTTTTCGTTTGGTTTAGACACTCTTGAAATATATCTACCTGACTTCAATTCATTGATTTGCACATGTAATATTTCATTTCTTTCAATTTAGCTCTTTTGTAATTCAACTACATGACTTTCATTGATAAATTCATGAAGGATTAATATTTCAATTCTTTTTGGCTTTTGACTGAAGACTAAAACTTTATCACAATAGCATGGTATATTAATCGTTTATCATATACTTAGTAGTAAATACACCGATTCTGCACGGTGTGATACGGGTGACGTCACAATACCCCATATCACGGACCGGTCCGAAAATCCATATCACCTATTGGACTGGCGGGCCGAAAATCCATATCAAACCGGAAGTAACGTTTGTATAACGTTTAAAAGTCAATTTACTTGATTTTATTTTAATATTCATAACAAATCTTTCTTTAATGACATATATGGTCTTAATTTTTTTCAGTTACCTAAAACAGGCTTTATTAGATTTTAGAGAGAAATGTCACAAACAAGCAGGAAATATTCATCATTGTTATACCCTTATAAATATCATTCTATATATTTATTACTTATAAAAAGTCCAACAAAAGAACTGTTAATTACATCGGTCTAACAATTTCACTATTGACCGGTCTTACATAAGAATTGTTAGACCGCAACGTCACTCGTCTGTTACGTCACAATTAATCATCGTTCAATATCGGCGACGTGAAAATAGCCGAAGTTAAGAGCTACAAGAGTTGTTGCTAACAGCACGGTTAGGAAGAAGGGAAAAGTATGTTTTGTGATAAATAATTTTTGTGATACAACAGATATATAATTGATTTTGTTCTTTCTCGGCTTGATGTTATATATTTACTGAAGAAGCCATAATTTTCCATATAAAATAATTGATAATATAGCGTGTATTGATTAAATTGATCAATCGTAAGTGAGCAGTGAAGGGTATAACAAAACAGTTATAGACTGGGATTCGGGCAACATATGATTTGTTGGACCTGAAGATTAAAATGTTGCCCTTGGCCTGCGGCCTCGGGCAACATTTTCACCTTCAGGTCCAACAAATCATATGTTGCCCTCATACCCAGTCAATAACTGTATAATGATCATATGGGAACTTGCATATTAAGTGTTTTAAATATATGATAAATAGAATACTACATACTGTAATATTCTCTATTTACATAATCGATTTACTATTGAATATATTTGATTTTTCAGTCTCTTGATTAAAATTTATAAACAAACATTTCTCATTTTATTTATGAATAACACCCGATTTAATCTCTCTGTTTTTTTTTTTTTTTTTTTTTTGGTTATTATTTTTTTTACTGTCTTCTATACTTTAAATTCACAGTATCACATTGCCAGCATCTGATAGTTAGACACAGCTGGATATAGTAAAGGAACTCTCTTTCCAGAGTAGCGCAGACAATAAGATAAGAATCACAGGCATGTTAAGTGACCTTTACTGTATTTAAAACTTGCTGTGATGCAGATCTAAATTGCGGAAGACAGTGGTTCTTTTATTGTTTGCACAAGAAGTAATGGCATTCACATAAAAATATTTTATCAACTGGTACAGCTCATTTCTTCCCTTTTAGATTAATATTTGATTAACTTCGACTATCTTAACTAGGTGTTTCTCGCTTTGTTTACAAACATAAGTAGTGTTCTATATATAAACACTTCATCACTAGTTATCGCGGGAAAATTGCACTGGTCGTTAGCATGCTGGATCAGCGCAAGGATTAGTTTATTTATACACCACTAACACGTCAGTCTTGTAAAAATAACCTGGTTTGTACAATATTTAATTGTGTAATTTTCTTTCAAAATCTATTTTCAAATTACTTAAAATAAGTTGAAATAGTTGAAAATACTAGTATTTATTGACTTAAAAATCAAAACTTTGTTTGCACGACATGTCACAATTTTTGACTGCATGCCCCTTGCACTACTTTCTCTCGCGGATTTACACAAATTCCAAAAAAATAAAATAATAAGTATTTAAGTTTATAAACACTTCAAATCATATCAGGAAACATATTCTTATTCTGTAGATCATGAATATTGTAAATAAGCCAATATTATACAAGAATCTGAATGCAAAATACTCAAACGAAAATGTGATTAGTTTCGATACATGGGAATCCCTTACCAGTAACATAACTTGAGTTGATGCCATCAACTCGTAAAAAAGGTTGCATTATACTTCAAAATGAAAACAGTTCTTACTTCGTTCATTTTTGTTGAAAATGGTAGTATTTCAATTTATGTGAACTCTTTAAAACCAATATAAATAAAGAAAGAACTATTTATAAATAACATTTTTTATGCCTTTGTTGAAATATAAATACTTCCATTAAAATAGGAAATATCATTTTTATTATTTTCTACTTCATTAAGTTACGGACACTACAAGACCCAAATATTTATGATTGGCTTTTGGTTTGTGGTAAAAAAAAAAAAAAAAAAAACATTTTATAAACTTCTGAACTATTAGAAATCAGATTTAAATGATTATTAAATACAAAATGCATGAAAATTAGATATTGTTTCAAGTAAAAACAATTCACTCGCAGAAGTAATGCCAATAGTAAAAAAAAATCCAGTTTAAGAAATCCTGAAACTTCCTTTTTTCACATAACTATATAACTGAAGTGCAGAAGAAAAGTTCTCTAATTCATTAAAGTTCTATGAAAACTATTTAGAATATAGGTGCACTGATCAACGAAGTCAATTAACCAAATTTAAGGGTTACGGACACTACACAATACTTAAATTTTTCACAGGCTTGAGCATGAAGTTCTTGTTTTTCAGCCCTTTTCCTAACTTTTTTCAGGATTTTATTTGTCGTTTCTGTTTCTCCCGATTTTTTTTATTCTTCGGATCTCAACTTCATCTGATAAAAGCATACCATAACCAATATACTTTGAATAAATATATAAACATGTAACTTTATACAGGTGTTATTTGCAAGTAGAAAAGTCAAACCTTGAAGAGTAAAGCTCACTTTTATTTCTTTAATTTATTTTTTTTATTTTATGAAGCATTCTGTTCTTCTTCAAACAGTTAAATATACAATAATTTATCTGAAATCGGTGTAATTTTAGTTGTTTTCTTTTTTGAATTTTTTTGTAGTGTCCGTAACCAAATTACTTCCCTACTGTTTAACATTTTGAATGCAAATTTACTTGCATTTTGAGATATCACCTAATAAGCAACTAGACAACTGAAGCAATATATTACAAGAAATAATTGGATTTTGTAACTCATGATAATAATTTTTAACTATTTTTATGTCATTTTGGGTGTCCAGTCATTATTTTAAGTACTAGCAGTAAAGAAAAAAACCACCTAATCTAAAAGAATTCCAGCCAATAAACACCTTTTTATCTCTAAATTTATTAATACACTGGTTCAAAAATTTATCTGTAAATTTTATGGAGAAAAAAATAAAGATATTCATTTTTCAACTTTTGGGTTACGGACACTACACTATACAAGTTATTTAAAATAGGATAAAACTTAACCTTAAATAGAGGAATTCTAACAAGATTTTCTTAAATGTAACACCAGTTGACTTAAACAGTGAAAAAATAATGAAATACTATTTGACTCAAATCCTAGGATGTCAATAGCATCTGCCAATATCAAAGTGATGTAACACCAAGGATCTTGTATATAGAATGGTGCAATCTGGGTTTCCCAAATTAGTTGCATTATCAAAATGAGAAAGAAAATAAAGTACATTGATTAACTTGTTAAACAAACCTCTGACCTTTGTGAATATACTAGCATTAGTGTTTTAACACAGCCTGTTTCAAACTGCCTCAAGTACAGGTTACAGACACTACAGGATTTTGTGGTGTCCGTAAACCACATTTGTGATCATAACAGAGAAACAGTGGTGATGATCAGGAAAATTACAACACGTCTCAGCATCTATATGAAATGCCTCTCTAGGAAATTTGTTAAGATATTTATAGAGCCTTCCAATTTCACAGAATTTAAGTGGTTACGGACACTACAGTTTTTTGTAAAAACTTAATTTTCCACATTAAAACATGATGAAATTTCTTTACAATGTTTACATAACCCAACTTTTTTCTGTAAGTAACAGAGCATTAATACTGTGATTTTAGACAGAAATCTGAAAAATTAAATAACATGGACATTATTTTTATTTGGTATAATGAGAGGGGTAAAATTATGTGAAAAATGTATAACATTGCACCCCTGTTACATTTTCTTTCATATCTTCAAAAGTTGTTATTCAATTCTGAAAATTCAAGCACCAAAATAATTTGTAAAATAAATTCTAAAGTCTGATAATGATCATTGGCATGAAAATTTATGATATTTAACAATTATTTCAATTGAAAAATGCTGTAATTTCAAAGCGCAACCGCATAACGCTGAAAAATAGTTATTTTGGGGGTACATTTTTTGCATTTACTTAAATTCTGTTAAGGCTAGATCAACAAAATTTTGCACACAAGTCCTTTATAAGTATTCCTATAAATGAATTACAATAAATTGCATGTAAAGAAAATAACATTTCTTAAAATCATGTATAACAATGTGGTATTCTAAATGCACCCTATATTGTGTTTCACCCGTAAGTGTGTATCGATGTGGCCTTGACGACAAGGTAAACACTGGCACCAACTGCTTGCTTGGACATATTACTTTTACAACGTGCTTTTGTTTACGGTTTGTCACTAAACTTAAGTTTCGTAAAACATATTTTGATTGGTTAATTTTACCGGAAGCCATTTATTCAACCAATTATAGACAGTCTCTTGGGCGTGTAAGAGTTACATTGAAGAAAACAACTGCTGGACACTTTATTGGTAATTTTAAACGTTTTAAAAAGGTAAATGATGAATTACAAAGTGTATATATCAGACTTGGGCGTACTTTTAAGTCTTAAATGTTTGGTGATTCTTTAAAGTACACGAATAATTTGTGAATTACGGATTTGCTTTTAGCCAGGAATTCCTCTGTTCCCCAGTGCGTAAATTACGTGATACCCAAAATCTTGAAAAATTAAAGACTGTTGTTTGAAGATTGAAGTGTTAGATAAGAAGTCATGGTGATATATTATAGTCTGTCCCACGACCGGAACGTCACTACTTTTCGCAAAATATCTCAAAATAAATAAATACCTTGGACTTCAACCTATGTCCGATTGTTAGATTGATTTTTTTCCAAACTTCCTGCATTTATCCGAACCCTCGAGGTCAACCGGTGTAAACACACGGCGGCAAATTCAAAGTCTACGGGGATTTAACATTGTCAAAATGGCCACCGCTTCGGAAGGGGATCATCCATTGTTCGTAATTTTCCGTACATTGCCGTCAGTAAGGAAATGACGTCACGCACGTTCGGGAGTGCTCTATGGTTATCGACGTTAGACTGGTACCCTGACATTGGTTCACGGGCGCAAGCGCCCTAAAAAACCAACGACAGGTAACCACTGCCATTTTATCGCGTCACAGGAAATGGCACTGATGATAAAATCTATATTTAGACTAGCGTAAATCCAGAAGTGCTGAAGTAAATAAACCCTTCCCTCTGCTCTACACATGCTACACTGCTGTTAACAAAGAAAGTAGACGGATTTTAAAGCATCTATAAAACCATAAAGAAGTGCTGCCTCAAAAACCATTAAATGTAAAGCGATATCACAGGTCCCATATGCATATCCTAGCTACCAAATCAAGGTCTATTGCATGATTAATTTTCCTACATATTTACCACTGATATGATAATTAAATCATCGATTTAGTTATAACACTTGTTCTTTAACATTATTCGTGTTCTAAAGTTTACGGGGAATTTATGCTATAACTCATTTCTCTAACTCCATGTGCTGCACCAGGAGAATTACAATATGTTAACACTACGGAACATTTGAAAGTTCATTGTGACATTATATTGTAAGTTAATGATATACTCAGTTAAGAAAGTCCTTACTATGTTATTTGAATAATTTCACCGTATTCAATTGCTCTATTAATTCATCAAGAAAGATATGCTACGTTTTGTTTTATCTGTTATTTAAATCGCTGGATCCACCTAACATTCTTCTCTGCAAACTGATGCTATTTATTTTTGGAATGCGCAGTACTATGCGCGAAGCAAGCAGTGAGTTTTTCCACTGTCATGGCGGCGGAGGTTACCTGTCCTTGTAATTCCTAGCGGCAGCGACTGGAATCAAGGGCAGAGAACCAGTGCTATTATCGACGTCTGAATTACCTATAACGCCCGAGACTGCCAAGTATATATATCTGTACTGCAAAAATTACGTCTTCAACAAAACTTTCATCTGTTCATACCCAGACTGAGACCGAAGGGATCAAAGATTCATTAAAGGGTTATACACTGCATAAAGCAAAGAGGTATGACTCAATTCATATAAGGGGTGAGTAAATTGCCATCATAACCTTGCTATATAAAAAAAAATCAAGGCTAGGTTACAGCAAATTTAGCTCGAGTGAATAATTGCTTTTATATCACTACAGCTGTATTAAGATTTTTAAAAAATGCTGTCTTACCTGTTTCTCCCCAGCTTTCCATATAAATCCAACCCCTTATAGTTTGTTGTAAACTGTGACACACGGTCAAAATAAGCTTCATATCTATGTGAACAAGTGATGTCCTTACATGCACAAGCCACAGATTTCCTGACTTTGTTATACATCCAACGCTTTAAACACATAAATCCTTCGTTGATATTTTATTTTAAAATCCCAGTGCAAGACAACATTTGTTGTCTGCATCAAACTACGTCACCAAAGAATTTTGACCTTGCCCTTCCAAAACTTCCTGTAATATCAGTGTTAGGTAAATTCAGACCCAGGATATGCATTTTTGTTTCCCACAAATATAACAGAATACCAAAAATAAAAATATTCCTATACACACAAATTTAAAGTACATAACGCAAGTGTGAAGAATTATGGATTTTTTAAATAAAATTTTTTCCCTAAAACAATTTAACAGATTAAATTTTATGATTTATCAGAACAAATATTTTATTGTAGGATACTGAAAAATATTTACATCCACTGAATATTTTCTCCTTTATTTCTTAAGAAACCCCATTGCGTTCATCACTGCATAATTAAATAAACTACAGTAGGCAGGTCGCCTGTACAGATTACTTAATCAGTGGCTGTTCCATCAATGAAACGTATAAAGACGTTCGCATCATTAAATCAATAATTAATCTTTTTAATCCTACTTTAATTGATTATTTAAACAGATATAAATATAAACAATAAAATGCTTTCTTTGTTTGTTGTTAATACTGGAATGAACGGTCGCAGCTATTGCAGAATAAAATTACATAACCCACTTACGCGGGTTATGTATTTTTTCTGCAACAGCTGCTTCCGTTCATTCCAGTAACAACAAACAAAGAAAGCATTTTATTGTTTAAGTGAATACCTGGTGAAGACACAAGATGGAAAAGCATAAAAATGGCTGTGTACATTACAGATATTAACTTAAGCCATAAGTACCCGCAGATATATTTTACAAGGTATGAAATAATGCAGATGTCTTGAGTTTGGTTTTCAGTCCCAACAAAATTTTTTGTAAATTTTCAAAGTATGTTTATTCATTGACAATTTCCCAATACACAAACATGTATATTCCTAATTCGCCTATATCATATACCTAGTAGTGTATCAGCCCTGTTTAGACTAGGCGAGACAGCAAATGGGAAGTAGGGCTGTCTTGTCCTCAGGGCCGAGCTATCTCTGTCTCGGCCTATTGTCAAGGGACGGTCCCAGTTCGCCCTCTTATTTCAAATCATTTCTGTTTAATTTGTATGTATTAAGAATAAAATTTATATTTAAGAAATAAATACAGACTTAAATCTTTAAAAATTATTTATTTGTGCTAGAATATTGAGAAAACTGTTTTTAAAATTGTAAAATACTTTGGAATTATTTTATTATAACTGTATAAAATAGGCAAAGTAATTTTGAAATACTTTTACTGTGTCAGTAAAACTTGAATGTTTAGAACGAACATGGATATTGCAAGTTCACGGATATAGTGAAGTTTTCTTGGATCCCCAGCTATGGAAATATAAGGAATTCCTTATATGGATAAAACAAATTTTGACTTTGCTATTTATCCTAGTTTTACTTAATAAGTTAAAACTAAAAATTGGGACTTTTTATAAGACCTTTCTGAGAACTTCAAACAACCTTAAAGGACATTGAGAAGTTATAAATATTATCATGATAAAATGAAAATTGTTGCACGAAAAGATTGAAATTTCAAGCTTCATTTTGAGACTATGAATTAAATTGTAAATTAAAGAGTTATCCTTCCTGTCTGAGGATCCTTAAGTATCTTAACAGTAAAATTATAAATTACTTCAAACATAAAACAGTTTTAGATTATAGGATAAACCAGTTTGTTTGAACTGTTTTCATTGTTTTATTAATTAAAATTTAATAAAATATTTTACAAGATAAATAATTTGTTATATATGTCCTATATTAAAGGATATTATATGAATTTCAGAGGAATAAATGTTTATAAAAGTCAAGCGCCCACTGATGCTGAAGTGTTGAGTCCAAGTTGTAGTTAAGACATGAAACAGAAGTGAGAAAATGTCAACATCAGTCATCTATGAATGAAGATGGAGATCAAGTGACTAGTCTCTATCCTAAAATTTCTGAGGAAAATGGTGTTGTTTGGCTCATCCAATGATCACTCCATTTGCAGACTACCAGGTAATCTTTGGTTTTGTCAATACTTTAATTTGTGCCTGAAAAAATTGATGATGAAACATTTTAATTTTTCATAAGATTCAGTGCATAAAAAATACTTATAAATTTGTGCAAAGTGAAATTTAAAGATACATTAAAAATTCAGATCATGTTCATCATATTAAGTAACATGAATTGTTTACTTATTAAAAATACATATACTTGGTTAATTCTCATTTTCAGGTTCCAATCTGAAGTACACGTAGGAAGAGTAAAATCTTTTTCATTCAAATAACTACTTACTAGCTGTGATCCAGATGAACATCCTGATTGTTTTGTCCAACATAAGATGACTTTCAATCTGACACATTATTCTGAAAAATTGAGTGAACATCCTTCTTCATGCATGTCTTTGTTGTGGTATCTTGTCTCTGTATGGTCATCATAACTTTGCACTCTTGTGAATTACGTAACCTATAAAACATCATTTTGTAAGTTAGTAATAAAAGTACATGTATAATCAAATATTCTATGCTTCATTCATTAATATATTCTTGATCAAGGTTTATTTATTTTTCAAATGGTGAGATTGTGCATTATTAAAGGTGCTTTTACACAGATTTGAAGTGAATATTTTCTCAAATATCCTGTAAAATATGATGACTATCACATATATTGCAATAGCATTTAGTTCACACAAAAATACATGAGGCACATGGGCCACATTGCTTACCTGAATAGCTTTGACCATGCAGTTCTTTACAAGATTAACCCCTTGTTATACCTTTTCTGACCCCAACCTACCCCCAGGATCATAAATTGTACAATATAAAATCTACACTACCCCACAATGATTTTGCATAAGTTTCAGCTTTGCTTTTCCAGTAATTCCCTAGAAGAAATTTTTAATAGAATTTTCTTAATATATACTGAGTATTTCAATGTAAAAGTTGGGTTCCCTATTGTGGCCCCGACCTACCCCCCGGATCATAATTTGAATGATTTAGAATCTACTCTATCCCAGGATGCTTCCACATAAGTTTCAGCTTTTTTGTCCCAGTGGTTCATGGGAAGAAATTTAAGGATATTATGAGAATAATATGCAATTGAAAGATTAGAGGGAAAATTGAAATAGACATCAGGTGCTCAGAGCATAAAAAATTCATTCTCAATACATGTACAGTGGATCTTCAGATATCCGAACACCAGATTACTGGATGCTTCAGTATCCGGATGATTTTTCATCAGAACAAAATTTTTTAACGTTTAATATTTTTTCTTGTTTAGCAGATAATTCAGATATGCGGATGCTTCACATATCTGGACAAATTGACCATAAAACAAAGCGGACGGATAAATGAGGCTCCACTGTATTTAAAAGAGACAGGATATTTTGAATATCTTGAATTTTATAGTAGACTTACTACTTATGTTATGCATATTATCTTTGCTTTAGCCAAAGGTTTCTGGTCTGCCTCTCTCTTATATTGCAGTGTCTAAATCAAGCTTCATACTGCTGAAAGAAGAGAAAGTGTCATAAAAGTGTATAACAGGACATCAATTTCATCATAAACTAGAGTGTTCCAAATTAAGGAACAAATGTGTCACTTGCTTTTAGCTTCTTTTTTAAGATGCATCTAAATCTATGAGCGGCCAGCTATTTTTATGCTACTGGCATATACAGTATGCAACCCTCAGCTGAATAATTTAGTTGAAATAATTATAACAATTATTAATTTTATCATTTAACGTGTTAATATGGGTTTCAAAGCAATTGTCACATTGCTCGATCAACTTTGTGGGACCCAATCCCAATGTAATCTCATAATGTTTAAAATATCAGTTTGTGTGGTTTCTGAATATCATACAGTTTCAAAGAACAGTATTATAAGTTAATAAACTTGAATAAATGTTAATTTATCAACACTGCCACTCAAAAGTCTAAAGTTAATTTAAATTGACTGGGGTATTTCTTTGTAAAGTAGGTCAAATGTAAAGTCAACCATGCTATACAAATACTAGCAAATAAGGATAAAATGTTTTGTTTGATGTACTCCGACTGACCCATCAAAATGCCCCAACAATTTTTATAAGCAACTTGATTTTTTTTTTTTAATTTAGTTTCATTAAATAGAAATAGAGACCGTTTCATTTTAAAACTGTGGTATATTAGTTAAAATTTTTTTTAATGATTAATATTTCATCTGTCTATAGTAATCTAGTGTGTATTGAAAACTGTTATACTGTTAAACATTAATAAATTTCTGAGTCTGCAATTTTTTAATGACACTTTAATATCACTTTGATCAATACTATTAAGCCAAAAAAAGCTATACCTATACCTACCCTCCTTGAAAAATGTGTGTCAGAGTATATCAAACAAAAATAATTTAATCATGGCCTGCAGTTTTTTAAAAACAATTACTTAGATGATAATCTTCTAGAGTTAAGGAAATGGAAATTTTCAAATTAAGTTCACATTTAAGCAGTATAGGACTTTACAGAGAAATGATGATGTTGAGGCTACGTGCAGCTTGAAAATAGCGTTCACTTGCCCTCTTCCAACTCAGGATTAGGTTGGCTGGTAGGTGAGAAAATTATTCTCAGAAAATTTAATATAAATTTTATTAATTTATTCCCCCCTCCCCCCCAAAAAATGATTCCTGGAGATTACAAAAAAAAAATTGTGTCATTAGCCAGTTTAATTGGGACAGGGCAATCAAACTTTTTTTAAAGAAGACTTGGCCGAGAATTTGAACTCATAGTATGTGCATGACAGTATTGATGGGAATTTGTCTCTGGTGTTATATGTACATATTTACAAGTCTGTACTCAGATTCAGATGAAATGATTCAGCCTATCTTAACTTTCTATGCTGAACAAATTATACAGACATGTTCTTTCTGTTTTCCTTTCATGAATAGTGTTTAAATTACTTTCTCATTTAGACGGCAAGGTCAAGAAAATGGTTTCCTGAAACAGCCAGTACATGCATATTCATCTACTTTATGTCTGGTTCTGCTAATTAATTCATCAATATGCATGCATGTACATAAATCACCATTAGAACTCAATCCTGTTTAATTGACAAAGATTTGATTTAAAAAATACATGCACATATTTTAATATTATAAAGTTTTGAAAAATAATACTAAAATGTGTTATCTATTGAAACTCTGTTTTGATGCTCCCAGGGTGTTGATACTACACATAAATGTAAAATTAAAATTGATCTTTAGATCTATAGCTTGTTATATATGTGCCAAATGCATGTACATGAAATGTTATAAATTGAAAATGAAAGTAGAAATAAACTTTAGTTAATTGCTATGATAATCAGCTGTGCCTTTCTTTTTGGTAATTTTTTACCTAGGCCTACTTGTTTTACCATCTTTCACACATGGGCTTTCATATAGACCGTTACAGGGCACAATAACCATGAGCACTTACCAAATACAAATATAGCTGAAATCTTTGTATCTAATGTCATCAATATCACGCGTTTTGAAATTTATACACTCTTACCATTTGTAGACACTTCTTTCTTGTGTGTATATGAGCTAGTAAAACAACAAAAGCGCAAAAATACCATTAGAAATAATAAACAACTTACGTTTTAAACACTGGCGAGCTTGCATCATCATGTCAACATCCATTCTCCACAAGTTGTACTTCGTTAGATTCGGACTATTTTCTCGAAGTTAATAATTAAACTTGTTAATTGCTGTTAAAATTAATTTTAATTCAAAGTGAAAATTGTATTATTAATGAAAGCAATTTAAATTAATTCCTTTAATTTTTAAAGATTTTTCGGAAATTTATTTTGCAAAGGACGACTACTCCCTTCAAAAACTGGTTCCCGGCCCCGTAACCTAGACGTTAATGGACGAGTTTACCATGTTAAATCCCCGTAGACTTTGAATTTGCCGCCGTGTGTTTACACCGGTTGACATCAAGGGTTCGGATAAATGCAGGAAGTTTGGAAAAAAATCAATCTAACAATCGGACATAGGTTGAAGTTCAAGGTATTTATTTATTTTGAGATATTTTGCGAAAAGTAGTGACGTTCCGGTCGTGGGACAGACTATAGTGCTTCCATTGCCTTTGGATTTTTTTTTCATACCGCAAGTCATGTGATGATCTGTAGACTACAGAGTACAGTGTAGATAGAATGTTCTATCGTTAAAATGATATTGTCCTACGGACCCGGTTTAACGATAGAGTTCGTTCCGTGTATTCGTAATGTAGCAGAAAGAAACACGGGCGATAACTCGCATAGTGCATTTACTAGGAACAATCTAGAGAGTTCCGAATGTAAACATGGAGGTAATTTGAATCGAGAGAAAAACGTTGAGAAAATGAATTGGATTTTCGTATTTATATGGATTATTTTTTTGGGATAAAAGGCATAAGCAATTTCAAAAAGGTTTGTTATGATTAATTTGCAAGTTATTTTCAGTGCAAATCCGTTTGTATCCTTCAAAATCGTTTCGGTGCGATTCTGCAAGTTTTTGCTACATTACGAGTATATGGGTGGTATTCTAACTGTGGTGAGGGCTTGTACCGAGACACAGTTAGATTATTCTAACTAAGTACAGTGTAGTGTAGGCCTATTTCGTGTAATTTCATTAATTACTTTTCAACATTACATTTTGATCTCTTTACACAATACATAAATTAACATAACCGTCCCATTTGACATCCTTGTTGTTTTCAATTAGGCTTTCATTTCAAATAGCAAACATCTTATCTCATTTTACTTGATGTTTTATAACAAAAGCATGTTAATTGATTTTTAAGTTAAATTTAACCAGTTGGTATGGCAACTCTGTCTACCTTTTATGATCTTTATTTCGCGGATCTAAATTCTGAGACACAAAAACTCAGTAAAGCCTAAAGGGGTAATCCATGATTCCTCTGACTCTATTATTAAACCCCTGCTTTTTATATAGTGACATTTGCTGGTAAAGTCTAAACAAGCGACGTCATGTCATGTTACTGTTTTCATAATTTACTTTGGATTTCAGATATCCAAAGTAAATGATAAAAACATTGGCATAAAAATTATAATTAAAAATTACTTTAAATAAATAAACTCTAGTCACATTAAGTATTTTTACTAGTCATAGTTTTGGCCATCATGGCGGAAATTAAGTCTTGAATATACAATCATAAATTACAATGACAGACTAAACACTTCTAGTTTATGAATTAATATACTCATTTTATACATTAACATTTTATATTGAAAGGATTTTTTATGTTTTAGGAGTCAAAATGGCACAAAATGCCTTGGAACACCAGTTGCTTGAGGCAACACGGATCATGGAGCAGCAAGTGGATGCTGAGATAGAGAAGTTAGATCGTATGGATGATGACGACTTTGACAAACTTCGTGAGAGGAGACTGGAAGCCATGAGGCAAGCTCAGAAACAGAAACAAGAACTGCTGGCCAAAGGTCACGGCAAATACTATGAAATAGCCACAGAAAAAGATTTCTTTGACGAGTGCAAAAGGAGCAAGAAAGTGGTGTGTCATTTTTACAGGGACAGTACATTTAGATGCAAAATTGTGGACAAACACTTAGAAATATTGGCTCCCAAGCACGTGGAAACCAAATTTATTAAGATTAATGCTGAAAAATGTCCATTTTTAGTAGAAAGGCTTAGAATTGTTGTGATGCCTACAATTTGCGTTGCTATGGATGGCAAAACTACGGACTATATTGTGGGTTTTGATGATCTGGGGGGAGTGGATGACTTTCCCACAGAGATGCTGGAATGGAGGTTGGGTCGTGCTCAGGCCATCAGTTACCAAGGGGATCTATTGAATCCTCCAGAGATAGGGGAGAAGAAAGGGGGGATTTTAGGATTCAGTAAAACCAAGAAAACCATCAAAGGACGGGACGATGATGCTAGCAGTGATGAAGATGATTGGTGAACATTGTGTTCTATTGTCGCTTATTGAGAAATGACATTTTCATATTTATTTCATGCATTAACAGACATTTATTTGGCAAAAATTTGCAGTACCAAATCATTCAGTTAATAAATGTATGTTAAGCTGTTGTAGTTTGTTTTTGGTATGCTTTACAACAGATGCTTGTGAAATTCTTGTTGTAAATGACGTAGTATTATTAGAAACAAGATGTGTTTGTGAAACACCATGCACCTGGCAACAACAAAGTACAAAAAAGCTATTTTTAGCATATAGGTCACAATCAAGGTCATAGACTTGGTGTCTTTTGAAAGAACTTAAGTAGTGGAGTATGCAATATGCAGTCTCCATCTCTCATGGTTCATAAGATATGTTGAAAGTTCAAAAAAGCTTTTTTTAGCATAAAGGTCACAATCAAGATCACAAGGTCACTGACCTTGGTGTCATTTGAAAGAACTTTATTAGTGGAGTATGCATACCAAATATGAAGTCTCTATCTCTCACGATTCAAAAGTTGGTTAAAGTTAAAGTTGACAACAGACAGACAAACAGACAGGGCATAAACAATATACGCTTCGGATCTATCGATCCGGGCGTATAAAAATGATGTAATGATTCACAAACTCTCGGGTCAGATATGAGATTTGGAATATTTCACAGGGCTTCAAAAAATAATCAGATTTTAGCAATCCTTTCAATTGTTACCTCTACCACTTCCATACTGTTCAATGATCAAATTAATGAATATATGTGTGTTGGTGAACTTTGCTTATTAAAGTACCATATTTCTAATCTTTACCATGAAAATCTCTATTAGCTACTAAAAGCTGCAGATCTGTAGCTTGTTGGTCTTTAAAAAAATGAGATGGACGACCAGAGAGCTACTGCATGTGCCACCCATAGACAAAACTATATTTATTGCGCACAAAAAGTTGCGCTTGGGTCTGGATTAATTCCTCCAAATCCATACATACCAAGAAAGCTAAATTTATATATATAAAAATTCTTACTCCTCAATCGAATACTCTTGTAGTTGACATCTAACTGAAGCGTGATGGACCGAATTTTCTGGCAAACCAAATTTGCGGTTTAAATAGACGAAATTTCCGATGACCTCAATGATTTCAGGACCAAGCGGGCTAATAACAACGATTATAAGGAATGATTTGCTGTGAAAACAGTAAAAGATATGGTAATATTTGGAGATTACAGTTTTAAAAACACGGAGAAATAAATCGAGAAACGACACATTTTTGGGTGTTCTGTAGCTCTCTGGTCTGTCGATATAATTATGTTTTTTCGACGAGCTACAGTTCTGCACCTATAGTACTAACTGTTACCAAGATGTGTTTGTGAATCACTGATGCCCCCTTATGGCAACAAAGTCAAGGTTTGCTTTTTAAAAGTAGGTCAAACTCCAAGGTCAAAGGGTCAAAGTTCAAGTTTTTCATAAGTACGAAAATCTCCTAGGTCAAGGTCAAGGTAATTGGTATCCAATTAAAGGTCTTGCCACAAAGAATACATATATAAAAAGAATGGAAACCCTAGTCCTAACCGTTCAGAAGTTATGACCAAGGTTAAAAAATTTAAAAAGTAGATCAAACTCCAAGGTTAAGGTCAAAGGGTCAAAGGTCTTGCTATCAAATAAAAGATCTTGTCACAAGAATTAAATATGTAAAATACGAAAGCACTATCCTTAAACCTTTAAAAGCTATGGTCAAGGTTTGCTTTTTAAAAGTAGGTCAAACTCCAAGTTCAAAGGGTCAAAGTTCTTGGTATTCAATGAAAGTTCTTCTCACAAGGATTATATAATATATAAAGTATGAAAGCCATATCCCTTACCGTTCAAAAGTTATGGCCAAGGTTAAAGTTTTTTTCATAAGTACGGAAATCTCCAAGGTCAAGGTCAAAAGGTAAAGATTGCTGGTATCCAATGAAAGGTTTTTCCACAAAGAATATATATACTAAGTATAAATGTCCTGGTATCTACTGTCAAAAAAATATGGCCAAAGTAAAAGTTTGGAATTTTTGTGTAAAAGTGGGTCAAACTCCAAGGTCAAGTTCAAAAGGTCAAATTTGGTGGTACCCAAAGAAAGGTCTTGTCACAAGGAACACACATGTGAAATATGCAGCTATGAGCAAGGTTAAAGTTTTTGCGAACAAACAGACAGAGAGAGACAGACGGACGGACACGACAAAAACTATATATACCCCCCGAAACTTCGTCTACTGGGGCATAAAAAGTTATGGCCATGGTTAAAGTTTTTAAATAGTTGGTCACACTGAAAGGTCCAGGTCATAAATTCTTTAAGGTCTTGTCAAATCATTGAATACTCATGTGAAGTATGACGTCCTAGTAAAGAATGTGAAGTCCTAGCACCGACTTTTCAAAAGTTATGAACAATGTTAAAGATTAACAGTTTTTGGTAAAAGTGATTCAAACTTTAAGATCAGGAGTAGCTGCAAAACTTTAGCTCTCTGCTAAAATTTGGACAGATAAAGCAGAGGGCTACAGTTCTGCAGCTAGGACAGGAAGTCAAATTTAGTGATACCCCGAAGAAAGGTCTTGTCACAGGGAATACAGCTATGAAATTATGAAAGCTATACCCTAACCACTCAAAAAATGGGCAAGGTTCAAGTTTCAACTGTGAAACAGACGGATAATACAAAAACATACCTCCGAAGCTTCGATTAATAGGAAAAAGCTTTGTCGACCCCAGATAAAACATGAAACAAGATGCGTTTGTAAACACTATGCGCCCGGCGGCAACAAATTTAAAAAAAAACCCATATTTTTAGCCTAAAGGTCACAGTGTAGGTCACAAGGTCATTGATCTTCGTTCAGAAGTTATGGCGAAGGTTAAAGTTTGCCGTCAAAAAAGCTATATTTAGCGTATAGGCCACAGTCAAGGTCACAAGGTCATTGACCATGGTGTCTTTTAAAAAAGCTTAATAAGTGTTGTATGTATACCAAATATGAAGTCTCTATCTTTTATGGTTCAAAAGTTATGGCAAATGTTAAAGTTTGCAAAAAAACCTCCATTTTTAGCATATAGGTCAGAGTCAAGGTCACAAGGTCATTGACCTTGGTGTCATTTGAAAGACCTTCATTAGTGAAGTAGGCATACCAAATATAAAGTCTCTATCTTTCATGGTTCAAAAGTTATGGCGAAGGTTAAAGTTTGCAGACAAACAGACAGACAGACAGGACAAATACAATATACGCCTCGGATCTTTCGATCCGGACGCATGAAAAGGGCAGATCCAGCCCCTAATGCCTGTGATGAAAGCATTATGTTGAATCTCTTCTCTCTCTCTCTCTCTCTCTCTCTCTCTCTCTCTCTCTGTGTGCGTTTCCAGTCTCTTTGATAATTAATTGATCATCAAGGTTAAAGCAGGAAATCAGATTTCTATCAATAAAAGGCCATATGAGAAGATTACATACTGCAAGTAATATTTGTCTTCTTGTTCATTAGATTTATTAGTTCCCTAAAATACACAATTTTTCAGTTGACATTTTTCCCTCCGGAGTCAGTAATTCCAATTTCCATCGATTGTTGCGGCAAGTCGTCAACCACTGTGGCCTGTAATCAGAAGAGAAGTCGTAATTTGCGAGCCAGTGTGGCGAATTTCCTACCAGAAATTTACAAGGTGAGATCTCTCTCTCTCTTTCTGTTTTTTTCTCTCTCTCTTCCTAGGTAAAGAGTGTGGCTGATTTATCACTGTAACGGACAAGGTGACCCCCTAGTCTCTCTTTCTCTCTCTCCTTCCTACACTGTAAGTGTGGCGAATTTTTTAACGGGGTAATAGATCTCTTTCCTAATCTCCGTGTCAATGTGATGAATTTTGTTTTATTAGGAACTGCATGGCAAGGTGAGATTCTCTCTCTCTCTCTCTCTCTCTCTCTCTCTCTCTCTCCATTCAGGTCAAGTTTAAGTACTGCATATCTAAAGCAGAATAGCTTCCAATGTAATATATGGAAAATTAACCGTTATCTTGTGTGACATTCCATGATAATAGATATCAGGTTTGTACCTAAGTACAGGTGCAATGTGTTCCACAAAATTCACAGTATCTCAGACATTTAGATTATCGTTAAAATAATCCCATTCCTGATTTACATCTTAATCCTTATAATTATGCTACCCTATTGCATCCTTAATATTGATCAAAGATTCAGAACAGTCCGTGCTAATGTTTGTCGATTTTCGATTGAGAAGTCGATAAATCGGCAAAGATGACAGACAGGTATACCATACAGGTGAAAGCATGCAGGCACCGTACATTCTTGCGTAGTTAAGATATATGTTCAGTGAATGCACATGTGTGTATACATGTAATATGCAGAAAGGCGAATCTATATGAGGGATCAAAGAGGTCCGGACCCCCTTCAGGTTAGTCCGATCCTTAGGTTCTGAAAATCATAATTGAAAATATTCACAAAATGGCTCTGATTTCACGAAGTTAGGTGGTTTTATGCCCCGCCATGAATATGGCCCACTGGCGGATTTAGAGGGGGGCCCAGGGGTCCCGCCCCCCCTTTTGAGTCTTCAAAAATACACAATATTTGATAAATCAATGTTTTTTGGTGTGACTGTGGGCCCCTACCCTGACCTCAAACTGGTCTGGCCCCCCTTTTCAAAATTTCTGGATCCGCCACTGTGGCCGGGGCATAAAGTGTTTGTCATGTACGTCTTCCGTCCTTCCGTCTTTCTGTCTTTCCGTCACACTTTGCGTTTAGCTTAGTTCAAAGCCCAATTTCAAAGAAACTATCCAAGATATTTTCATCAAACTTCATAGGGTCAAAAAATGTTGATGCAGTAGAATAGCTCTCATCAGTATGTATCAGCATATGAAGTTTGATAACACTTTCTTGAATGGTATCTTTGACCTCACTTTTCTTAAATGAGTGTTTAGCTCTGTTTTAAAGATACCATTCAAGATAGTGTTATCAAACTTCATATGTTGATACATACTGATGAGATCTATTCAACTGCATCAACATTTTTTCCTTGACCTTTCCTTTGACCTTGACCTCACTTTTCCTAAATTAGTGTCAAACTTCATATGCTGATACATAATGTAAGCAATTCATCTTCACGAAGTTAACTGGTTTTTATGCCCCGCCATGAATATGGCCGGGGCGTAAAGTGTTTGTCATGTCCGTCTTCCCGTCCTTCCGTCTGTCCTTCCGTCACACTTTTCGTTTAGCTCAGTTCAAAGCTCAGTTTCAAAGAAACTATCCAAGATATTTTCATCAAACTTCATAGGCCGATAAATACTGATGAGAGCTATTCAACTACATCAATATTTTTGAACTCGACCTTTCCTTTGACCTTGACCTCACTTTTCTTAAATAAGTGCTAAACCTCATATGCTGATACATACTGATGTAAGCAATTCAACTGCATCACTATTCAAGATATTATGAAATTTCATACACAGATTCTAATTTTCATGTTGCATTACTGATATAACCTCGACGGGGCATTCATGTCCTATGGACATATTTCTAGTTATCTATGGTACATGTACGTATTCTTTCATAGTTTATTATAGTTAACCATTAATTACAGTTCTCAAATATATATTATCAGGGAACACGAATCAATGCATAAGGTGTATATACATTTTCGAATTAAAAATTGATCAACAGATATATTCAAGTATTAAAAAATAGGCATCCAGACATTCGGAGAAAATTGCATGTTTTCATTCTTATAAACAACACGGTATCGTAGTTCACCTGTATACCTCAGGTGAATAGATAGTGTGAAAAGTCTGTGCAGGTATTGCAAGACATCACAGATTGCATCATACTTTCAAACGAGATTTGCGATAATCAACTGCAACAACATTTTTGTCATTGTACCAGTGTTTAGGAAAAAACATAAATTATTGTGTTTTATATGGGAATGTAAGATTACGGAGTATCACGGATAAAATTATGGCGTAGTGAGGTTTGTGAAACATCCCCGCTTTGCTTTAGAAATATACATTCATCACCTACTTTCTGCAATATACAGTGTTTAAATTGCAAAAGACGACACATCAATGTGGTCTTAATAAGTACATGTATTTCATTCTTAAGTCAAATGTACATTTCTCGTGCACAGGTTTGATACGTGTTTCTGATCTGATCAATAATTTTTTGATGACGTTCGTGATTTATTGGAGAATAATATCCGCGGCATTTCTTTGATCTCGGCAATAATCGTAGTAGAATACTATGTAAATTTAAATTGTTCTTCGAGCTGGATACGCGCATTTGGGTTTTTCCTATGGGAGTTATCACTACCACATTAAAGAGTACTTTTTTGGAATACTATTCGTAAAAAATATTAAAATGGAAAATATAAGAACTGATTTTATTTCTACAGAAAGTAGCAGTATATAGATGTCTGACCCCAGCAGTAGACGTGTTGTCCTGGCGTACAGCGGGGGACTGGATACGTCCTGCATCCTGGTCTGGCTGATAGAGCAGGGATACGAAGTCATTGCTTTCTGTGTAAGTTTTGTCTAACATTGGCATACGTATGGAAAAGGTGATCGGTTGTTCGAAAGAAACAAACTTTAAGGTATACCTTTACACAGATGACTAAAAATTCCACTGATAAGAACGAAAAACCACCTATTTCACATTGTACACCTATGATTCTTGTGTTAAATTTCAATTTCAAATAACTAGGTCAATGGCCTCGTTTTCATGCTACGGGCCCCTGAGTATTTTTCGGGAAATACCTCAATTTTTCACACTATGACCATTTTTTTCTTCACTCACAAAATATTACAAGCGACAAAACTCTTTAAATAATGAAATATTATAACAATGGAATAGAGTTGCTCCGTATAAAGAAATGAGTAGAGTTTGGGCCATAAACGTGATAATTATGACAGTCCGAATTTCCTCTGTCATATTTATATTTTTTCCCTATTTTTAATCAAATGTTGCAAAAATCTGACTGATAAGAACTCTAAATTATTTATAGCCTCAGGTTACTTTTGTTACCCTCATTCTCATGGTATCAATATTATATGGGGTCAATGATCAAATTATTGAGATATGCTGACTGCAGTGGTTTTTGTACATGTTTTTGAATTTATTTATTTCATAGCATTCATTTATTTGACATAATTTATGAGCTTAAACACATATAAAATTTGCAACATGATGTCTTAATATACATGTAATCTTTACTTTGTGATTCATATTTCAAGAAATAAAAATTTTGACAAAATTGAAAAATTAAAAATTTAGTCCGAATTTCCTCTGCATAGCCATACATTGAGTTTTGTTCCTGTATATTTTCTTCAAGTACTTACATATTAAATTTCTAAATTGATATTGAGATAAAACTTAGTTATTTTATCAATTTAGAACAATTTTTGATTTAATATTTTATACTTTATAAAATTTCCTCTCTGATTTCTGAAACCTGAGTAAACGTCATCCTTAAAAGCAAACTTCAATATTTTATCTTGAATAGGCTAACATCGGGCAGGATGAAGATTTCGAGGCTGCAAAAGAAAAGGCACTAAAGCTTGGTGCAAAGCGGGTATATTATTCTAAAAGCTTTATTGTTAAAAGTGGACTGAAATGAAAGAAAAGTCTATACAACAATGTTTTTGTATCTATAGTCAAAGCGTCTCCTTTAGGCATTTAGGATTTGTGTGTGTTCACGTTTCATTTTAATTGTATATGTAGATGGTAATTCCTGATGTACGTGCTGAGTTTGTAGAGGAATTTATATGGCCAGCTATCCAGGCTAACGCTGCCTATGAGGACCGGTACCTCCTGGGCACCGCTCTGGCGAGGCCTTGTATAGCCAGGTGAAGATTGTGACGTTCAACATCGTGATCGTAGGGTGACGGAGAAGGCGCATTGACCAATGTGAGACTTTTTCTCTTTACAGGGCTATGATCAAGGTTGCCGTTGAGGAGAAGGCGCAGTTTGTTTCCCATGGGGCCACAGGCAAGGGCAACGATCAGATCAGATTTGAGTTGGGGGCTTATGCATTGCACCCCACAATTAAGGTTGAACCCCATGATGACTTTGACAAATCGTATTATATCGACCAGGAAAAAAACTTCATGAATATGTTGTTCACATCACTTTCTTATTAAAAAAATGTTTTATATGTACAGGTTATTTCTCCATGGCGTCTGCCGGAATTTTACAACCGCTTTCAGGGCAGAGCAGATCTTTTTAAATATGCACAGGTAAAATCATTCGACTGAGAATTTTCAGGTAATCTAATTCAACTAAAGAAATTGAATTTTGTTCAAGCAGTTCACAGTAGTTAAAATACACACAGATATTTTCACGCTAGTATATAAAAATGCATTGGGCATTTGTTAAAATTATCGAAATGATCCGTACAAAGCTAATCCCTAGGAACCGGGGGGGGGGGGGGGGAGGGGGGTTGCACCTCACCTTCCCATCAAAAAGATCGTGCTTCATAGGGCCTACATGAATTGCAATCTCTTCAAAAAATCAACCAATAATTTATAGTGAAATACATACACCTGTAAAATCATATACTTTTGTATGTTATATTCATTCCTGCATCATTTCAGGAACATGGCATTGCTCTGCCGGTAACCCCAAAAGCCCCGTGGAGCATGGACGCTAATTTAATGCATATAAGGTAAGTTTATATTTATATAAGAATTTATATATTTTTGAGGAAGTTTGCGGGAGGTGGGCTTCCTGCCCTGTGTCAGTTCAGGTCAGAATTCCAAGCAATGACTATTCATATAAACATGTATATACCAGTTAAATACAAATCACATACATACAAAACAAAACCAAAAACAAAATCGTATGTGAATTCGATGAACGAATTGGGTAAAAAAATGTTTATAACCCTGGTATGTGTTAAAGTGATCTTTGATTCAAACCTATAGATATCTATTATTTTTGTGTAGTTTTAATATATTTTTTCTTTTATTTCACATGAGAGTAAACATAACCCTTCAAGTTTCTGGTATTCTCTCTAATACAGCTACGAGTCGGGTGTTTTGGAGGATCCAGCCAAACACGCCCCTCCGGGGATTTACCAGATGACTGTAGATCCGGAACAAGCCCCCGATCAGGCAGAGAAAATCCTCATCTCCTTTAAAAATGGTAATTTTATATATATGTTATATTGTATAAAAAATACTCAAAGACTTGTTTTCAAAATGGATACAGAAATTAAAAAAATAAAGAGAAATAATTAATCAATATGCACTGTACATCGATCTAAAAAATGTTTTTAATGTACCTAGTACATTAATCCTCAATAATATTGAAGTACAAAAATATTTTTTGGCTCAGTTAAGCTTGGACTTTTAGTAAGACGTGGTATTCTCAACGTTACATAATTAGCATCTGAAACTTACACAGCTTTCCTTCATTGTTGAAATATACATGGGATAGAATTTCGGCAAATGCCAATTAGTGTATCGAATATAAAACAATAACATTGTCTTACCGGCAAAGAGGTGAGGCTGAAGTCGTCTCATCGTCAACAACAATTTCTAAAGTTCCTGATGTTATCAATTTCTTAACCAATCAGAATCTATTCGCCATTTGACAGACGCTAATTATGTAGCGCCGAGAATGCCATGCCTTACTAAAAGTCCAAGCTTACCTAAGAATTGTTCTATTTACGAATAAATAAATACATGTAATTAACGAAATGTTTTGTTTATTTACAGGTTTGCCTGTTCATGTTAAGAATTTAGGAAACAGCACGGAAAAGAACAAACCACTTGAAATTTTCTCTTACATGAATGAATTAGGGTATATAATATTAAACTCAAAAAGCCTACTGAAATTATTATAAATAAAATATATTATAGTTTGCAGCTAACTGTAAAGTTTCACGTTACGTCACGATCTTTTTCGTTAGCTGCATCCACCGTAAACAATTCACGTGATTGGTCAACTGAAATTATCAACATTGACAATATATTGTTGCACGAGCAACCAATGAGGGATGTTTCCAGTCGTAAAGCTTGCGGTTAGGAGGCGTGTACAATTTACCTTGAGTGCAGCTGTCAACTAGATCGTGACGTAACGTGAAACTTTACAGTTAGCTGCAAAATATAATAACTGCAAAACACTTCTTTTCGTAAATATTGTATTTTTCATATAATTCTAGTGGAAAGCACTCCATTGGAAGAATAGACATAGTAGAAAACAGGTTCATTGGAATGAAGTCTAGAGGTAACATACTAATGTTTACTAGTAGCCTTCCCGTATCTACTAGTACCTAATTTCAAATTTCGCATCTACATTATCTGTGGCACAGTTCACTTAAATCTTGTTCGGTATTAAAAAGAGATTTCATGACATTTTGATTGGTCTTTGGTTCTTCTCTAGGTCTTTATGAAACACCCGGTGGAACTATTTTACTGGCTGCACATATGGACATTGAGCTGTTTACCTTAGACAGGGTAACTTTGTTGATGTTGCTTTAAGATATAGAACAAAGTATTGCAAATATTGTATGATTAAATAATTACTATTACCATCAAACATTGTAGAAAATCACAAGTTATGTTCACTTGGAAATGACTTTAAAAATGAACACAGCATTTTACTTTCTTTTTTTCAAAATCTGTTTTTTTTTTTGTCAATACAGTGACGTAAAAACCTTCGAATTGCAAATTTTCCCTTGGTAGCCTGATATTCAGAATATTGTAGTCCTTTGGTAGCTTAATTTTCAGCATTATTCTCATCATTTTAAATTATTAATACTTTCAGGAAGTACGGAAAATAAAACGGAATCTCGATATCGCCTTCTCAGATCAAGTGTATAAAGGTATAGTATTATATATTTACCTCAAAGTGTTTAGGAGCTCAGTAATTATCATGATATTTAATTAAAACATTGCATCGTCCAAATGCCGGGGGTCCTGAGTCAACACATTGGACAGCGGCAGCGTGTTGACTCGGGGCTATGGAACGCCGGGACTGTTTTATATGAGGATAAATCATTATATGCAGTGTTTCCGCGGTACTATCTTAATCAAAAGAAGTAGTTTTTACATTATATCGTATGCAACTTCCATTATACACAGTACTTGTTTCATTTTATGATGCAGATATCATTATATTATGTACAACTATCATTACATGTTTTTATCATTATATAAAGTGCTTTTAACATTATAGGCGGTAGATCTAACATTATACGCAGTACACACAATATATTATGTACTGTCTTCTCACATTATATGTATACAGTACAAGTATATCCATCATTATATGTAGTACATGTGTATTTCTGTTATTATGATGATGCTGATCGTTTAATATTATGTCCGGTTCAGTTAGCATTCCGTGCGGTAGATTTTGAATTTTGTTACGGTAAATGAATTTCAAACTCGAATTTCAATCCAATGTTTCCCCCGCGTCCGCGTCGAATTGTACTCGCCCATTGTCTATCATTGAATGTTTTGATTGTAACAGATAGAAATGACGTAAGCTGCATATTTCCAATCTTGCCAGTTAATGTTCCGCGCGGTCTTACATATCAAAAGCTTTTTATTGACCTATGATCAACCTTTGATAATTAAAAATCTATTACTGGTTAATAAGACTGATTTATCAAAAATATGCCAATCAAAGTTTAACTTATGCTTTATAATAAGGTACAGTGTATTCAATAAAAATAAAATCAGACTTAGAAAAAAAGATACATTTAGATGTATATTTCTGTCCGGAAAAGCCGTAATGGTGGTCTCATTGGTTTAGTTTTGTAAAGTGTGCTTTCTATGTTGGTTACATGTGCATCTATATATTTAAATTAATTTTATTTGCTTTGTATGAAACCCAATCAAAAAAATTATTTATATTTTGTTTTATTACATATTGTGTTATAACATTTTGCGTTGTCTTCAGTGCAAAAATAAAATACAACGAAAAAAGCACATTATTACATTTTGCGTTGATCTCGACTCAAAATGTAATAACGCAAAATGTAATAATCTAAAATCTTGTTATTATATTTTGTGTTATTGCATTTTGTTATTGCATTTTGCGTTGTCTAAGGCCTGTTCAGCAGAGCGAACGTTCGCAAGTGCTCGCCAAAATTGCAAGTGCTTCCCTCGGCACCAGATCTCATGGTACTCGGGAAAACTTCGGAAGGTCCACAAGGCCCTCAGGCAACATTTGTTGGAATGGAAATTCTTTCACCAATCAACAAATTAAATGAGTCCCTTTGTGGTAGAATTGACTTACTTACCCAGACAGTTAATGAAATGAACGGGAAATTACAAAAACTGGACATTATTGAAATGAAACTAAGCCAGTTTGAAACAGAATTAAGAACAGTTAAAAATACAGTCTGCTTAGCGGATAAAAGAATAACAGAAGTTGAAAAGGCAATGGAATTTATGAATCAGACTTTTGAAACTAGTAAAAAAAATGTCGCAGAAATGACAGTTGCGATGTCCTCTGTAAAACAAATCACCCAACAAACAAAGCTCGATACAGAAACCGTCCAAGGCCAAGTACGAACAGCCCAAAGCAAGATCAAGAGTGCTGACACTGAGCTTTCAAGACATTCAAAGATGATAGAAGGCATGGCAAAAAATATGGATCAGTTAAGACGAGATAAAATTCAAATGCAAGAAACAATAACAGATTTGCAGTTTAGGTCAATGAAAATGAACTTGGTCTTTAGTGGTTTGGGAGGAGAGAGAAAGAATGAAAATACACAGGAAAAGCTGCGTCAATTTCTTAACAACGAACTGGAGATTACGCATCACGTAGAATTCAGTAACGTCCACCGCTTCGGACGCTTCACTAAAGGGAAACCCCGACCAATTGTTGCTCGCTTCCTGTATCAAGAGGATCTGGATATGGTATTGGAACGATCAAGTTGGCTACGGGGAACATCCTTTGGAGTACATAGACAATATCCAGTGACCATGGAAAAACGTCGACGGGAGCTCATACCAATCATGCGCCAACTACGTAGTGAGGGGGCGCATGTCAAACTTGTGCGCGATAAATTAATTGTGAACGGTCGGCAGTATGACCCGGACAATCATAGCTACATGTACGCAGAGGAAGAAGATTGGGACACGAACGATCCTATGGACTATGATATGAACGCAAATAATAACCGGAGCCACGCTCCATCGCAGAACACTGCAATGGGTTTCAGATAGGAGTGCGTGCATCCAAGCAGCGTGACGTTCTTCATCGTGAGTGCGGCCGCAACAATCATGTGACTGATCAACTTTGTAGAGGTAGAGAGGTCAGTGACTTCACTTCTAACCTTTCGTTCATAGTTTGGAATGTAAATAAGGGTATTAGACAAAAGCTGAAAGATAAGGAGTTTGTAAATATTGTAAATAAGTATGATATTATAGTTCTTTTAGAATGCTGGATCTGTGCAGGTGATGAATTAGGTATTTATTTAGATGAGTACAATTGTTACACTTTCCCTAGAAATTGTGGAAGAGGGGGAGGTATTGTCATTTTTTATAAAAACGTGCCCAGTATCAGTGTTAATATTATAGAATGTTTTTGCAATACTGTTATCTGGCTAGAAATTAGAAAAGAGTCAAATGTAAATGAAAAGCCTATTTATTTAGCTTCTTGCTACATACCACCTGAAAAAAGTACTTTTTATAAAAAAGAAGATGTAGATATTTTTCAGTATTTAGAGGAATCAATTTGCAGATTTGCTAGCAAGGGAAAGGTTTATTTAACAGGAGACTTAAATGCTAGATGTGGTAATTTAGATGATTTTATAAGGAACGATATGATAAATAAATCGGTAACAGATAATATGCAAGCTTTTACTGATTACGATTTAGATACAAACGAGTCTACAAGGAACAACAGTGATAGTTTTGTGAATAATTTTGGTAGAAAATTGATAGACTTGTGTAAAACCACTGGTATGCGAATTATCAATGGAAGACATAAAAATGATCAACATGGGGGTATAACTTTTTATGGTGCAAATGGTATGAGTACTATTGATTATCTAATAACAAAGAGTGAAAACGCTAGTAATATTGTAGATTTTACTTTAGGAGATTTTTCTGTTTTTTCAGACCACGCACCAATTATTTTTTCTATAGGTGGTGCATATAAAGAAAGTGAGGTTGTTTGTGGTCAAGAGCAATCAGGTAGAACGGTTTTTAAATCAGTAAAATGGGTCGAAGAAAATGTAACGCAGATAAATACTACTCTCAATAATAACTTTGACTTGCTTTCTGATTGTCTGATTCATTCGTTTGATAGCAGAGAAGTAGTAAATCAGTGTGTTAATAATTTTAGTAAAACATTAAGTGATTTAATTCTGCCATACTGTAAAATTACACAGAGTAATAGATCTATTAATATGAATAGAAATATTAATTCAAAACATACTGAAGATAAACCATGGTTTAATGAAGAGTGTAAGACAAAGTACATAGAATATGAGACAGCTCTAAACCATTTTAATAAGCAGAAATCTACTGACAATAGATTAATATTAGTTAATAAAAAAGCGGCTTACAAGAAAGTTATGAAAAAATGTAGACACAATTATGAGAGACATCAAGGTAATAAAATCGAGTATATTCGGAAGTATAACCCCAAAAAATTTTACAAATTGTTTGAACGTAAGAAAGGGCAAGTAAGTTCAGATTTATCGGCTAACGATTTCTTAGAACATTTCAAAACCTTGCTTGAATGTAATACAGAAAACAATTGGAATAATGAATTTAATTACGTAGAGACACAGTCATCAGTATACTGTGAATTAGATCAGGAAATTACGGTACAAGAAATTGAATATGCTATTTATAAATTAAATCATAATAAAAGTAATGCAGAAGATTGCATGATTAACGAATTCTTCATCCATTGTAAACAAATACTCATGCCTATTTTATGCATGTTGTTCAATAAAATCTTTACGTCAGGCCATTACCCAGAGAGTTGGGCTACTGGGTGTATAGTGCCAGTTTTTAAGAAAGGGGATAGTAATAATCCTAATAATTATAGGGGAATTACACTTGTTAGTTGCATGGCTAAATTATTTACAAGCATATTAAATAATAGACTGATGCATTGGGATAAAGAGTATAACATAACTACAGACGCGCAATTTGGATTCAAGTCAGGTGCAAGTACCATTGATGCAATATTTGTTCTACAGACATTAGTTAACAAATTCTTAAGGAACAAAAGAAAACTTTATTGTTGTTTTGTAGATTATCAAAAAGCCTTCGATTATATCAATAGAATTAACTTGTGGCTTAAAATTAGTACTCAAGGTATTCAAGGGAAATTATTTTGTATTATCAAATCTTTATATGATAATATTAAGGCATGTGTAAAATATAATGGTTTACTTACAGAGTATTTCAAAATTACGTCTGGTGTGTTACAAGGTGAAATTTTATCACCATTATTATTTTCTATGTATTTGAATGACTTTGAACGTCACTTTATTACAAATAATTGTCCATCAATCGAACTGCAGATGATAAATATATTTTTACTGATGTATGCAGATGATACTGTTTTGATATCTGACTCAGCTGAGGGTTTACAAAGTATGTTGGATGCATTATATACATACACAACGGAGTGGAATCTAACTGTTAATGTTGAAAAAACAAAAATATTAATTTTTCGCAATAGTCGTAAAATACTGGAAAATGAACGTTGGATATACAACGGTTGCAATGTTGAAGTTGTTAATCAGTTTAATTATCTAGGTATGTTATTTAATTATATTGGAAAATTTACTGAAACACAGAAACATTTTTCATGTCAAGGTAAAAAAGCTATGTATGGTGTAAATAG